ATCACAACAAATTGTGGTAAGTTCTTAAAGAGATGGGAGTACCAGACCATCTTATTTGTCTCTTGAGAAACCTATATACGGGTCAAGAAGCAACAGTGAGAACGGAACCACTAATTAGTTCAAAATTGGGGAAAGAGTCCGGCAAGGCTGTATACTGTCGCCCTGCCTATTTAACTTATATGCAAAGCACATCATGAGAAAGGCAGGGGTAGATGAATCAAAAGTTGGAATTAAGATTGCTGGGAGAAATATCAACAAGCTAAGATATGCAGATGATACCATTTTAATGGCAGAAAGTGGCAGAACTAAAGAGCCTCTTGATGCGGATGAAGAAGGAGAGTGCAAAAGTTGGCTTGAAACTCAACATTAAGAAAACCAAAATCATGGCATCCAGCCCTCTCAATTCTGGCAAATAGATGGGGAAGAAATGGAGGTAGTGACAGATTTTATTTTCCGGGCTCCAAGATCACCTCAGATGGGAATTGCAGCCAAGAAATTAAAAGACGATTGCTCCTGGGGAGGAAAGCTATGGCAAATCTAGACAGCATACTAAAAAGCAGAGACATCACCCTGCCAACAAAAGTGCGTATAGTCAAGGCCATGGTTTTTCCAGTTGCAATGTATGGATGTGAAAGTTGGACTATAAGAAAGACTGAGCGACAAAGAATTGAGGCCTTTCAACTATGGTGCTGGAGAAGATTCATGCAAGTCCCTTGGACTGCAAGGCGTTCAAACTGGTCAGTCCTAGAAGAGATCAACCCCGACTGCTCTTTAGAAGGCCAGATCCTGAAGTTGAAAATCAAATACTTTGGCCATCTAATGAGAAGGAAGGACTCACTGGAGAAGGGCCTAATGCTGGGAAAGATTGAGGGCAACAGAAGAATGGGATGACAGAGAATGAGGTGGCTGGATGGAGTCACTGAAGCAGTAGGCATGAGCTTAAATGGACTCCAGAAGATTGTAAAAGACAGGAAGGCCTGGATGATCATTGTCCATGGGGTCGCGATGAGTCTGACACAACTTTGCAATTAACAACAATTAACAACAACAACTGACTTCATATCTGTTGTTTTGAGACAACTGTTAGAATGCTGGAAAGGGAATTGATTGCAGAAAAAAAACATTGCCTCTTCTTGTTACCATCAGTGGGATTCCTTCACTAGATCATAGTCTTTCCACTGATAGAAGAATCCTTTCTAGTTGGGGCCAGCAAGATCTTTATCCATCCAACTTTGCTAAATAGAGAAACAAGAATGATCCATATTACCTTTTAGAATAAATACAAGCAAAACAGACTGATTTGTTTGTTTGTTTGTTTTGCTATTCTATAAGATTATGTTTAAAGTTTAGAAGATTGCTCTGAGGGTTAATTTCATGGCTGGGAATTTCAAACTGTGGCATTTCAGAATGTTTTTTTTTAAATGTGTAGACTTTTTTTAAAAAAAAATTATAGTTTTTGGAGCTTTATCTTCTGTTCTGTACTAGGCTATCTCAGGAAATTTATTTTGCCTTTTTCTTTCTAATTTTCAGGAAACAATTAAAATGCATTTGAGATATTAAATGGAAAAAATATTAAACAGATGGATTGAGAATGTTGGCATTTAAGAGATCCACAGAGATTAAACTTATTAAAACTCATAAAAATAGCCTGGTTTAATGGGTATAAAAACAGGTTTTAAAGCAGAGCGATTCTAAAATACAGAAATGAAATAATTGATATAACTTGGGGAATTCACCCCAGAGAGAAATAGTGAATTTATTAAACATTTGGCTGCAAAATTACTAAAACTACTGAATCTATCCGTCTATTAAATGGAAAATATGTTAAAAGCATAACATAAGTACCACATAATTAAAAAAATGCCTGAAGAATGTTAAAAGATTTTTTTAAGTATTTTAGAACAAGATTTATCTTATCTTCAAAAATATTTAGAACAAGATTAAAAATTTCTTGGAAAGCTATTTTGCTTATGCAAGAAAGTGTTAATTGGTTAAAAACTATACAATGAATATAGGTAATCTTTAACTTACAACCATTCATTTAGTGAAGACTCAAAGTTACAATGGCACTGAAGAAAGTGAGTTAGAACCATTGCAACGTCCCCATCATCACGTGATCAAATTCTGGATGCTTGGTAGTATTTATGACAGTGGCAGTGTCCCAGGGCCATGTGAACACCTTTTGCAACCTTCTGACAAACAAAGTCAATGGGGAAGCCAGATTCATTTAACAACCGTGTTATTAACTCAACAGCTGCAATGATTGACTTAATCACTGTGACAAGCAAGGTCATAAAATTGGGCAAAGCTCACTTAACAACTGTCTCACTTAGCAACATAAATTTTGGGCTCACTAGTGGTCGTACATTAAGTACTCCCTGTACATTGGAAATATCTCTGTATCTCCATCTTTAGAGTAGGTATTTATAGGCAAAAAGGGTTGTATAGAATGGTTGTATATAAAACAATTTTATAGATTCTTTTTTTCTATTCCTAGAGAAAGATCACAAAAAAGAGTATAAGATTTCCCATAGAAATACCAGAAAGGATATAAGAGTAAGGCTATTGGTTAACACAATGCAATCATTTGATATACTAGAAAAGTTAATGTGAAAATTCATTTGGTCATTCTGAGTCAAGCTATGGAAATACCTATTTTTTTTTTTCATTAAGAGGTATGCAAGAGCCACTTTTAAAGAGCAATTAGTTTCTTTCCAATGAAACAAATATTGCAGAAATGAGATTCTTTCTAATATGCCATTTGACAAAGCTATTGTGCCTATCATTGCACTAAAAAGCATTTTATAGCCCAATTAAAATACAATAATACATTTCTTATTTAGGTATTGCTCATTAACTTCCCTATGTTTGGGTTCTTTCATATTTGCCACCTTTCAGCAAGACTAATGATCCATTCCCAGATTTTGCCATTAGTTCTTTTATTTTATTTCCAAGGAAAAAATAATTGTACAAAAAGGATTTTCTTGCCTCAATTTTTTTCCTCACCGATCTGCAACTAATTCACATTTTCTTTGCTAAACTACATTCCTGACATACGTATTGATGATGACCACAAATCTAAACTGGAGCAGACATTTTGACAATGTTAACACAATCATTTTTAGAGGAAATGATATATTTAGATATACCATTGTCACACAGAATGATTTGCAAAATATATTGAATCATATTCCATCAGTATGATATTGAATATGCAATTACTGTCCTTACGATTTCTGCTTAAATTGCTATTTAGTTTATTCCTTTATGTAAAGATGAGTTTTCTTCTAAAACATAATTGTGCTTGTGCACCCACGAGAAAAAAATATGAACTGTTAGTTTTGTCTCTAATAGTGATCACTTTAGAGATTTTTTTATTTTGTTTTGTTTTGTTTTCATGGTATTTTATTTCATTTGTTTCAATGGTACTTTGTCAGTGGCACTTTTTTTCTATGAAGTCATTCATTCATTCAATTTCTATGGCTGCCCAACCAAGTTAATGACACTTGGTGGCTTACAATATAAAAAAAATACATTACAATTAAAATACCAAATACATTTTAAAACAATTAAAACAATAGAAACCTCCAAAATAAATAAACATAGCAGCAGAGATATTTGGCCAGTTAGTAATACAGCCAAGAAATGGGGCCTTTGCCACACTTATTACCCCAATCATGGTAACATAGCCAGGTTTTTAGAGCCTTGTGAAAGACTAACTGGGTTGGAGCCATTCTAATCTCTGAAGGGAGGATGTTAGGTTTTGTTAGATAATGTGACATGGGTAGGTAATGAGAATACAATAGCAATAGCACTTGGACTTACATACTGCTCCATAGTACTTTATAACATGCTCTGGGTGATTTACAGAGTCAGCATATTGTCCGAAACAATCTGAGGTCTCATTTTATCGATTTCAGAAGGATAGAAGGCTGAGGCAACCTTGAGCCAGTCAGGATCGAACTCGTAGTTGTGGCTAGAGTTGGCCTGCAGTATTGCATTCTAACCACACCACAGCTCCTGTGGGTAAATGGGTAAAACTTATTTGTATGTTGCTTTGATCTTTTTGATGCTCATTTTCATGTATATTTGCAAATGCACACATTTGCACATCCATACATAGGCACACACACATACACACAGAGAGCTATATGCTAAAGAAACCAGATTCTGAGAATTCTGAAGTTATTGGACAGCCATATTGCTGATAGATATTATGTTTTAAAGATCCTCATGGGTTATCCAGTAAGTTTTCCCACTGTGCACTGTGGAAAATTTCTGCATCAGATTAAATAGATTCCTATTGTCCTTAATTATACAACAGTAATATCAGGAACCTGAGATTTTCAACTTTATGGAAAACTTGACTTAAACTTCAAAAACTACCGTTGTTATTAATTATATTTTGAAAATAGTTTGTAAGGGGTACACGTATTCTTTTTCAAGTAGTTACAGCTTTCTTCATGTTTTTGTCTGTGCCTGAAAAAAAGACATGGCTGCTTTAATTAGTCAATGTTAATGTAAGCATATACAATTGATATTTTCATATTTATTATTTATTTGCCCATCTCAATACTAAGGTGACTCTGGGAGGCTTACAATTTTAAAAAGAATAAAATAAGGCAATAATGTGTATTTTGGTGCAGTGGGAGGAGAAATTAATAAAATTTTGACTATCAGCCTGTGCCAATGATTTGCACTCCAAGCACCATCAGGCTGAATGTAATAGCTAACCAGCTGATTTCAAATGAATAAATCATGATAAATATTCAATCTGTAGTGATTTGAGTGTTTGATACTTCCAAGCCATAAATAGTCCAGAAACCCAATGAAAGCTCTTCATGGTCAATTATAATTTCTTAGTCTAAGTTCACTAATAAAATTATTATGATATAAATTGAGATAGCTCCTACGTAGCCCTGAATTCCTTTCAAGATACATTAAACTTATAATGAATTACATTAATATAACCAAATCTCTGATTTGTGTACTCCTTACAGAAAATGAGGATAATCTAAAAGGAATGCAGAATAAGTTGCAAGTTGCAGGGGAAAGAAACTCTGCTCTCTTGAAAGCTTTGAATGACACCCTGGAAAAGCTATCAGCCATTCCAAACGGTAAGTGGGGATGAGCTAAATTATCACTGTTCAGTATTTAGAGCACAGTGCTTTTCCTAAATTAAAGAATTACGGGGTTTTTTCCCACTTCAGTCCTCAATCTACCTGTATTTGCATTGTCCTTCCTTCCTTCCTTCCTTCCTTCCTTCCTTCCTTCCTTCCTTCCTTCCTTCCTTCCTTCCTTCCTTCCTTCTTTCCTTCCTTCCTTCCTTCCTTCCTTCCAGTTTCTAACCAAATACAGTAGGAATCATGTAAGAAATGCATCAATATCATGTCTTTGTGTTCCCAATCAAAATATGTTCATAATACAGATATTAAGTGCAGATAGAGGAAAAATTCTCTTTAATGATACACAGTGGTGCCATTAAGTTTAAAAGCCCCCCCCCCCTCCAAGAACCCTGGAAAATTTGTTCAGGTTTCCCCACTTCTCATTCTGTCTGCCGGTGTCTTTCTCACTTGATCACAGTCAGTGGGCTGCTGCTGTCATTGCTGTCTGCTCCCCTCAAGACTGCTGAACTCTTTCCAATGCTTCCAAACCAGTGATACCATTTTGGCACATCCAAACACAGTGGAAGTACCATTGTTAGAATTATCATCACAGCCCAATAGTTCAGCTCTAATAAGATGTGTCAGTATGCTGACAGCTTTGGCTCAATATATTTCTGATTTTGATCTTCCACTTTTGAAAAATATGTGTATATATTATGCGTTCTACTCTGTCCCATAAGTCCTCTTGTCTGTTTTGGTTCTTTGAGATATGTTAGTATATTGCTTGCCACAGAAGAAAAACTTGATATTCTTTTTTTTTTCCCCTTTTTGGTTTAGCAAGAGCATTCACTTTCTTCTCATTCTTAGAAGTCCTTCTTTTTTCTTTTTAAAAGCAATGAAAGGCAACATTCTACCAACCAATCCATCATTTTAGTTCATTTTCCCAAAGTGCCTCTCCTTGCTGTTATAGTAAAAATGCTAAGAAAGGAGCAAATATTCAGAGCGAAAAAGATCAAGTTGAGCAAAGATCATCATTTCTGAAGAAATATAAGCAATCTGTACAGAAGGCAGCTGGAACTGAATGTGAGATTTGTTACTTACAGCAGCAAATGGAAGCCAAGATCTGCTGCCAGTGTTTTAATTATATGAAGTAAATAGGCATGACATCACAGTTCATTTTGCTTTTTGTCTAGGAGGTAAAATACATTCTGTATCAGAGGGAACCAAGTTATCTACAGACTAGCCTGATATCTTCATTATGACAAATTTTGCTGGATTAGGACTTCTTTGGTTTAAAAGAAAGTTAATTAAACCTACTCACAAGAACCTATGAACTTATTTTTGCCAATGCAGTAGATACAATGGTTTGCAGAGGTCAACAAAAAGTAAGGATATTAAAAAAACCAAAGTATGTCCAGAAATATATAGCCCCTCCTTTTTCCCTATGTAAATTTAGATTCCGTAAACAGTTCAGGCAATAGTTCAGTTAATATATGTCTGATTTGTCTTTTCTGTTTTGCTCATATTTCTTGCAATGTTCTGTTACAGGCACATTTACTGATGTCATTGTTGCAGCACTAACAGTGCTGTCACTCTTGTTTGTTGAGAGAGGTTACTTGGTTTTTTTCTCTTGGAATAAGTGAAAATAAATAGGTTTTGTGTTTATTTTACTTTTAAATAAAGATTTACTTTTTCAGAAACAAACAAAAGTGTTTTGTCTTGCAGTAGGGCCCAACACAACTCAAATAGTCCCTCTACAAGGGATATGGGTAGTTAAGAAGTTTGATAAATCAATAAACCAATAAATATAAATACTATGTACAAGATGTGATATGTCGGCTGCCTTGAGTTATTTATAAAAAAGGTGGAATAAAAATCAAATAAATAAAATATATTTCTTGGTTCTATTTTTTTTCCCTCTTCCTGTTTATAGATACTGCAGCCAAAGTACAAGCAGTCAAAGATAAAGCCAAACATGCTAATGATACTGCAAATGAGGTACTGGCTAAAATCAGAGATCTCAATCAAAACCTCCTTGGATTAAAAGACAGATACAGAAAAGTTGCAGATGATGCAGCCAAAACAAATACTATATTGAAAGATCCTACTAAAAATAGTAAGACCTTATTATGCCTATGTACTTTGATTTCTTTCCTTTTTTCTAATCTTCTGAAATGAAAGGGTTGTTCCTTCCCCTGATTTAAATTATGGTGTTGTGTGTTTTTCAACATCTACAAATGTTAGTAAGGTTTATGTATAGAGAGAAGAATGGTGAATATCCTATGCTTTAAAAATTAGGTCTTCCTGCTGATAGTCCATACATCATTCCTTCATTATTTTGTATACTTCAAATACCACTTAATTAGCAGTATGTTTTCCATTGCCTTCTGCCTTCTTAACACATTTCTTTTGATATTAAAAAAATAGCTTCAACTCTTAATAATGAAAATGTCCTTGAAAGATCATTCTCAGGACAGTAGAAATAATGGTAAGCATTTGTAGTTTGAACACATCAGGTAGGTATATAAGTTAATCATTGAATGAAAATGCTGTAATAAAGCTGTCTTTTGGTTTTAGAAGATGTATTATAATCTCTTGGGTAATATAGATATATTAGGAACATATTTTATGCTGAACCGTTACTTATTATATTCACTGAAAAGCACTATATTACTGGTAGAATTCAGAAAAATGTCTCCAGCATAGCTATGTGACCTCTTTTGATTCTTCCGTTCAATTGTGTCCAATTCTCGGAGGTTGCCTGAACAAGTCCTTGCAGTTTTCTTGGCCACATTTTTCAGAAATGGTTTGCCTTTGCTTTCTTCCTAGGCCTGGCAGAAAGTGATATGCCCAAGATGGGACAAAGACTCACGATCCCCCAGTTTCTAGCCTGTTTCCTTAATCACTACACTAAACTGGTTGGTTCTATATGACCTTTAGCAGATGAATAACCATTTTTACTAGAAACTTTTTAAATTGCCTCAGTGATTGGATCTTATTCCAGATCTGGTCATCTCTGCAATATGCAGGAAAATGTAATTTGTAGGGAAAAGATATATTATTTCATTAGAAAAAAGTGGTAAAAGGAAAAGATAGAGGTATCCATAAGACTAGAGGAAAATGGGCTTAGAATTTTTGAATCTTTATCACAACAACCGCAAAAAAAAAAAGATTGCATTGTTATATCCCCACAAATCTGTGCTTTCCTTTTGAGTAGAGAGTAGAGAGCAGTTTGTCTGAAGACTTTTACTGCTCAGTTATGTGAATTAGAAATATCTTCTTGAAAAATTCAGGAATGGTGTTCGTGAAGATAGTTTGCTATTACAGTTCAGCTAAATTTAGCAGTTGGCTTACAGCAAGCATGGACACAATCTAATTTAGAGTCAATTGACCAGATTGACAGGGGCTTCGGATTCCCAGTAGGCTAGCAATACCAGAGAGTCTTAATTAGAAAAGAAAAAGAACACTTGGTGATGGTTGTGCTAAAAAACTTTTGAGCTTGAGTCTGCTTGAGTTTCTGGACTGAACACATATTCAGAAATGTCCATCTCTGCTGGAGCCCCTATTTGGGGTCTCACTCCATTTGGAGGAGGGGGGAAATAAAATGTCAAGTAGATCTTGAATGATTGGAGTCCGTTCATCCCTGCCCTATTGCATATTCCTAATCACATTTGAAGATGTGCATTTTCCTGAGCTGTACTTGCCGTTTCAATTTTAACTGAGATCAGGATTTCCTTGCAAGTTGTCTTGGTACTCCACTCTTGTGTCTCCCCCTTTCTCACTTAAATGTCCCCTTTGTTTTCTTTCTGCACAGCTTCTATTAGCATTCTACCTTTACCCCATAGTTAGTTTTAAATCTGAAATCATAGCAACATGAGAAAGGAGAACTTTAAGTCAGAAAAATGGGAATGTGCATAACCCAAAAGAAAGCTGGAGAAGACCACCATTATTATGAGATGAGGAAATGTTACATTTTCACTGATACATTACATGGTAACATCTAATAAAAACCTTTCTTTTGTCCTGCTTTTTATAACCATTAACCAAGTTTTAATTATCTATAGATCAGCTAGTTATCATGTTCTAAACGTCCTAAGAGAAAATATCCCACTTACTTCAAATCAGCATAATCAGCCTGCCAAGCTATGCCCATTTCCAGGTTTTTGTTCAGTCACCAACTTATTTTATATTGCTGTTTGTTGTTTTTATTTATTTAAAAATACTTTTTCTTTTTCTTTTTAAAAAATGCTTCAAAACTTGCCTACAGGAATCAGTACGTATAAGGTTTTAACTTCAAGCACTTTATTAAAATATATTTGCATGGTTACTATGTTAGGCATTGTCTAATAATAGCTGTTGTGTTCTAGCAATGATACTAATTTATCCAAGCAGCTTTGCCATAAAAAAGGAATGTACCCTAGTTCTGTTATTACATCAGATATGTCAAACACAAGGCCCGGGGGCCGGATGCAGCCTGAGAAGTGGTTTCATGTAGCCCATGAAGCCATCCTGGAAACAGTGAGGGAACAGCCCCCGCTACCTTGGCCCTGGCCCAGACCAGCCGGGAGCCAATGTACAATTTTGTGGTGGCCATCTTGGCACTTGCCCCAGTGGACCATGCTTTGGCACTTGCCCCAGTCCCACTCCCTTCTGCCAGAGACCCTCAGATCTGTCCCACTCCTGCCCAGGCCCCCACAGGCACCCTTGATGCAAATGATGTAGAACTGGCCATGCCCACCCCATAGGACAAACCCACTCCATCCACACTCACCCAGTAGGCTGAACCCACTCTGGCCACACCCACCTGGCCCCCAAGGGCAACGCAATGCTCATGCGGCCTTCATTGAAATTGAGTTTGACACCCCTGTATTATATGGTCATATGCATCTATCAAACACATTTTAAAAATTAAGAAAGGGTCTTGGAAGCTTTCATTTAAAAAAAAAAAGGTCTGCATTTCTAACATACAGATCAATCAATCTGTACATTTCACAATGTGTTGAAAACTTTTGTCATTATTCACTGGTTTTCTCTTGCATCTTGATGAATGTCCAGACAGCTCCTCAGCTAACAAAAACAGGGGTTCTTTAGTGTGAGTGCTCCACATTCACACTGAATACTCCAGCAATCATTGTCACTATCAAGTTTTAATTCATTAAACATAATACTTTCAGTTTGAGTAATCATCTAAAACACTCAACAGAAAAAAACAAATTTTGAGTAGAGTGATTCAGTATGTTCCCATGCAAACAGTCTGCTGCATTTTGTTGAAACTTAGAGCTTTCTAATCGTTAAACAATAGACTCAGGATGGACTATAGAAGATGTTTCACTTTCAAATACATAATTATTTTGCTCACCATCATGCATCTTTCCATGTCCATAATAGTAAAAGCAAACAGGAATACCAGATACTGTATTGATGAGACACCACAGAAGAAGGCACTATGGGTTGTTTGTGAACTTCCAAAGCCAAACAGATCTTTTTATCATACAAGCCAGAAATCCTAACTGCCCCATATACAGCAAATGATTGGGATTACACACTCTGCTAAGGTTGCCAGGCCCATCCATGTATTGTTCCTTTTTCTAGATTACCATCCCTGAAAACGGTTTCAGACCAATGCAGGCAGAGATCTAGGAGAACATATTTCAATAAGATTTGGAATCTTGTATTTTTTTAAGGATGTGCAGAGATATTAATCTGCTATCTAATTTACACATGGGGCCCATTGTACATATATAAAACCATCTATGGACATTATATTATTTTGTTTTGTTCATACTGAGCCATGCTCTGAAAGTCCCATTGTTGTGTTACTCAAATTTTGCAAATTTAGAGTGGCTCAAAAAATATGTTTGAGATGTGAAACACTTAGTTTATTAATTGGCAAATCCACTACTATTTTAATTCAAAATGTGTTCAGCAATGCGAGAATGAAGCCCTGAAACCTTAGCTTCCTGGAGCACTTTTCTAACCCTTGCTGCTTTGCTACTATTTTGCCTTTAAACCAAGTTGTAAAATTAAAATTAAAATGGCAATTATTTTACATCTTTAATATGATTACTGAAGAGTGCTCTGAGCACAGCAACCCCAGTTTTAAACATAGTTCATGAATCTAGAAATTAATGTAACATCGTTCCTTTCACTCTTGACATTCTTATTTTAAAATTTGTATCATGGCTAATTTAAACCATCATTTCCAAAGAATCCATCCAGATCAGGAAACTACTTTAATAATGAAATCCAAATGACCATATGAAGTAAAATTGTTTTATATTATTGGCTAGAATGCAAAATTAACCTACAGTTTTCTATTTCAGGTATAATAAGGTATATTAATAAATTACCCATGATGCAATTTTTTGAGAGGAGAGTCAAGGGAAGAGTTCATTTTTTATTTATAAATCACTGCCCCAGAGTGCCCTCAGTTTTTATTAATGGCAGTTGCATCCAAAATGTAATCTGTTCTATTTTTGTTTTATTTTTTTTCACATAAAGTTGCTGATGCAGATGACACTGTTAAAAATCTGGGCAAAGAAGCAGATCGGCTGATGGATAAATTGAAACCAATCAAACAACTTCAAGATAATCTGGGGAAGAACATATCTCACATTAAAGACCTGATAAATCAAGCCAGGAAACAGGCCAATTCTGTAAGACTTTCTTAAGAGCTTAGTTTATTTCTTTGAAAAGGTAAAGACTTTCATGAACTGAGCTGTACTTTTGGTGGCTACAGGAGAAGTTGGTTTGCCAGAGATGTAGGGCACATTTTTTTTTCCACTTCTTAGTGTAGTCTTCCTCTCCAAGTGAATGGCGAAGCTGGGCCTGTACAGCTTACATAACTGCTGCCTATAGGAAAAGTCTGTATACTCAGTCACAATAAATTACAAATCCCAAAGTTGTTCAAAAATATCCACATCAGTTTCATCCCAGATTTTCAAATCAATCTTCTCACCAAACATTGTTCTTAAAGTAACAGCTTGAAGAAGGAAGTCAGAGTTCCTGTAACAATGTAATTTCTCAACAATTGGAATTGATTGTATCGATACACTATAATGTCCTTTATAAATATTAATAGGAAATATTAATATTTGAACAGAAACTAACTGATCAAATATTTAATGAATTATTTTCCCCCCAATACAGTCCCTACAATATTTACAGTTGGTAATCAGGAAGCACTGCTGCTTTGCAAATAAAATTGACAACATCTTGCAGACTAACCAAGAATATTAGGGGGATTGAGATGTGTTTGAATAGTAGTAGCTCAGGTTGGTAATTGGGCTGTAGGTTTGATCTCTGAGCTTGGCGATTTGGCTGCAAACATTTTGTCACCATTCTGGAGGACATCTTCAGTGCACTTTGAATTGTGCTCATCTGTCAAAGCACTGGCCTTTAAATTGGTGTGGGTGTTGTTTGTCCGGATGTTTCTGAGTCAGATTTGCAGCCAAATTGCTACGCTCAGAGATATTAGGGGATTGGTGTTCCATTTTTTTCCCATTATGTAAGTGGGTTAAGAACATCACTTACTAGTTTTATTATTGAGTCCTAAGTTTGTCTTCAAAGTGCAATTACATTTGAAACATATTTTAGCTGGTAATGCTAAATCTGCTTGCCTTATGACCTGCAAGAACCTAAAAAAAGATCTCTGAGGAGGAATATGTTCAAGTCAAAGCTTTATGCCGCTCCGGGAAAAATATAAAAAGGAAAGTATGTGTCATTATAATGAGAAAACAGCATATTTATTTGATAAACAGCCCTTCATATAAAATAGAAGCAATCATTTACCTCCAAAATAATTTCCATCCATAGATTTTAAAGTTACTTTCCTAACATTATTCATACCTTGGAGTAGGCATCTCTGTATTTTTATGAGTGAGAATAGAAAAACCCACATTGATCGTTGTTTAATAACTATTCTGTCTCAGTGATATTTGTACCATCCAAAGGTTTTAAAATATATAAATCTTTTAGGGCTATTTTTAATGCAGGTAACTAACCTACTAAGCTTACACATTTAAGTGTAATGTATTCCCTTCAGCGTTATATTGGTTTTATTTTGTGTTTTTTGTTTTCCTGTTCTGGTCTGAATAATCTATATCTACTATTTCCTTATACCACTAAAACAAATAATGAATATAAACTATCATAGGTAGCAGTTATTTTTTCTAATATAATTACTATTCTTATTGTAGAATAAAACTGGTGGGATACACTTTAGTTTGCATGTTGTCATGTTTCCTAATATGATCTTTACATTGAACAACTATTAACATTGACTTCTTTGATTATTTGATTTATTTGCTTATTTACTATGGCTATAAACCATTTCAATCATAATAGACTGTAAAAGACATTCAAAGACCTTATAATTCATTGCAGTAATTGTGTTAAAATAGATACACATTCATGCACAATCCAAAATAACTGTAGACAGTGTTAACATATAGACCTTCCCCTATAAGAAGGATCAAAACAACATATCAGAGACCTTGACGGTACACTGGAAAACCCAGGTCTTTCTAGCTTTATGAATACTCAAGGGTATGGGGTCTAATTTGTAAGAAAATTCAGAGAAAGGATGCATTGTCCAGAGAAAAGATGCATTGAGTAAAAAGTCCTGCTCCGGAGTCCTGGCAGATGGCACTCATTAGGGGCCCATAGAGAATTTTCTCTTCTCAAACACAATGTACAGATAGAAATCACTAGGAGAAGGCAATATCAATGATATCCAATTCCTGATCTCTAAAAAAATAAAACTTAACCATCATCCTGAATTACTTCTTAAAACAAACTAGTTTCAAGTGCAGTTCTCGAAATAGTAGTGGTAGTTTTACCTATATGTGTTGCTGTCTGAAATGCTTCATTCTGGACTAGCAGAAGCCTCCGAATCATCTTCAGGGGCAAATCCCAAACACAGCATATTAGAGTAGTCCAAACAAGAGATGACCAAAACATGAATGATGATAAGTAGAATATTCTGCTCCAGAAGAGGTTGTACTGTAAAAGATGGAGCTGCACAGAGGCTGTGTCCTAGCCAGTGCTGCTCATTGTGCAGGAGCAGGGAATGTAGGAGGACCCACAGATTACAGGTAATCCTTGACTTACAACAGTTGGTTTAGTGACCATTCAAAGTTACAATGGCACTGAAAAAAAGTGACTTATGATCATTTTTCTCAGTTACGCTCTTTGCAGGGTCAAAATTCAGATGCTTGGCAACTGGTTCATATTTATGACCATTGCTATGTCATTTGATCACCTTTTACAATCTTTGAAAAGAAAGTCAATGGGGAAGCCAGATTCACTTAACAACTGGGTTACTAACTTATCAACTGCAGTGATTCACTCAATAACTGAGACAGGAAAGGTGGTAAAATGGTGCAAAATTCACTTAATAAATGTCTCACTTAACAACAGAAATTTTGGGCTCAGTTGTGGTTGTAAATTGAGGACTACCTGTCTAAACTAGCTCTGTCCATGGAAACTTGAGTGTTCAATCATTGAGTTGCTTCTGACTCGTTGTGATCCAATGGCTGTTATATCCCAAGATTATCTATCAATGCTTTTCTGATTTCTTCTAAGTTCCTACTAGTGTCATTAGTAATAGTATATAACCACCTTATTTTCTCTAAGCTCTCTTTTTTTCTATTACATTAGCATGTTTTTCCAAGCTTTAAGATCCTCTTGTATTATGTATTTGAAATATTTAAGTTTTAGCATCATTATTAATGTTTCCAATAAGAAGTCTGATTTTACTTCCTGTGGCACAGAATTATTTGTTGTCTTTGCAATCAAAGGCATTAACTTTTCTTCATTCAGCCTTTTTTAGGATCCAACTTTCTCAGCCACTTGTTAAAACAGGGAAACATTGCTTTTATAGTATGAACATTTCTTGTCAGTGTACTATCTTTGTGTCTTAATATTTTATCTAGACCTCTCATCCAACTAGCAGATACCTTTTTATTCTTTATTATGGTCACTATTGCTGAATTTTTGAGCCTATGAAAATAAAGTTTTTTACTATTACCTTACCTTCTTCTATGCTCAGGTGCATTGAGTTGGCATTATCTCTTGATTTAATCATAATTGTTCTGCATGAGGTTTTCTTTTGGTTTTATGTTTTGATTTTTTTTTGTTATGCTTTTGGTATGGAGCAATATGCAAACTAGCTTTTGCCTTCTCTTCTTTTAAATTCAACAAGATATTTTTTTAAATCTTCTAGTTATCACAGTGGTATCATCAACATAGCTGAGGTTTTTATGTTTCTCCCAGCTATATTCATTCTAATCTGTATTTCCTCTAGTGAAATATTTTTCATTATATATTTGCCATGTATTTAATTGCTATGTATCCTATTAACATTATTGCTTGTAGTTGTGGTATAAATTCTTCAACAGACAAACGAGGTGGCCTAGTACACAGGCCCCCAACCTTTTAGGCACCAGGGATTGGTTCTGTAGGGAGAGATTTTTCGGCGGACCAGACGGGGGGATGGTTTCATGTACTGCCTGCATCCCATTGATAGGGCTTCGCTTGTTTGTGCAGCCCGGTTTCTGGCATGCCGCGGCCCGGTGCCAGTCCATGGACCGGAGGTTGGGGACCTCTGGCCTAGTATGTTCATATTTAAAAGATATCTACTATTTCTTGTGGTCCACCCTGTTAAAAGTCTTTGTATGATTAATAAAGCAAAAAAAGATATCTTTTTAGGAATTGTCTAGAATTTTTCCATTGTCCATTCAGTGTTAGCACTGTTAACTCAGATGCCCTCACCTCTTCTGAATTTTGTTCTTATATGTGACAATTCTTAGTCAACATATAGGTCTGGACTGCAAAATTATGAGAAGTGAGCTTTATATTTTTGGGGGGGCTATTGGGATATAAATGGGTCTCCTCCAGTTCCTTGGACTCCAGTGTACTTGTTTTATAAACTGCAAGCGATTTTCTAGCACTCATTTAACTTCACTTTTCAAAATGTCTGGCTCTAGTACTGATGAAACCTTGCTTATCAGTCATTTATTCTTCCATATATTTTGTGCTGTTTCTTCATTAAATCTTTCTTCCTCAGATCTTTGATTTCTTTGTATCTTATTGCGCTTATTTTTGTATAAAAGCTTCACCTGCCTTCTCCGATTTTCTTTAAAACAATAGCTTGTTTTCCCTTTTAAATTATATTCTTAATTTATTTGCTTTGCTAATTTTATATGACTCCTTATGTCTTCTTGCTTTTGTCTTGTATTCACTGTTTAGTTGGACTGATGTTCAGTTTTGACATAGCTGCCCTAGCCACATATACTATGCCTTGGTTCATAGTCCTGGCAGAGCAATGGTATACATATCTTTGTAACATTGCCTTGGTTGTGAATGTCCCTTTGGCAAAATATTCAAATGGGTTGTCATTTTCTTCTCATACAATATTTAAGCTGTTCCCTTGTCTATGACTTGTCCATCATAGATCAATCTTCTGTAAGTGTATACTCCCAACAGTATAGCTCATAGCATCACTGTAATATGGAAGAGCTCTGGTGGTGCAGTGGTTAGAATACACTATTTTTGCTGACTCCTGACTGCCAGCAGTTTGGCAGTTTGAGTCTTACCGGCTCAAGGTAACCTATTTGCGAGACCGCCTACTACCTCATAGTTCCCTACATCCGGTTAGATCCCACAGGCTGGGCCTCCTTCAGGCCCCGTCGGCCAAGCAGTGCCATTTGGCGGGGCCGCGGAGGAGGGCCTTCTCTGTGATGGCGCCCACGCTTTGGAATCAGCTCCCCCCGGAGATTAGGACCGTTCCCACCCTGTTGGTCTTCCGTAAGCTACTTAAGACCTGGCTTTTCCGGCAGGCCTGGGGTTTAAAAAACCTAACCCCTGGATGATTTCCTTTGTACTGTTGTTTTGTTATGTTTTATGTGTTTTTTATTGTTAGCCGCCCAGAGTCCTTCGGGAGTGGGGCGGCTTATAAATTTTAAAAATAATAATAATAATAATAACCTTCCATCCTTCTCAGGTCGGTAAAATGAGGACCCAGATTGTTGGGGGCAATATGCTGACTCTGTAAACCGCTTAGAGAGGGCCGTAAAGCACTGTGAAGCAGTATATAAGTCTAAGTCCTATTGCTATTGCTAAGTACTATATGCAAATACTTTCACTGCTGCAGAGTGAACACCAAAGGGGCCCTTTGTTAATACTCCAGCTAAAGCCCTATGTGCATATGCAACAAGATTTCATTTTTGAGTATATTTGCACAACCTTTCATCAGAATTAGAAATACATCTCTTTTATAATCCTAGAATTACTTATTTTCAAAACATGAAACCCGTACTGATATAGTGTACATTTGCTCCTTCAGAGTTTCAGATAATAAACTTCAGCAATCAAATGGAATGTTCAACTTTGTCTTGGAAAAGTTTGTCTTGGGAAAGTAATTCTGTAAGTTCAATAAAGCAGATCGACTGGGTCTTTATTGAGTCTTTTTTTTTGACATACAGAAATGCCATTCCTTTTAAAAATAATGATAATAATATTACAGTAAGCACTAAGTGAACTCTTATGACTATTAGATAATTAGTTTTAAAAATTAAAAGATCCTATGGGACACATCTAGCAACAGTTGACAGTACAAGCACAATATACGAAAGCTTTCATAACGCAGACCCAAAACAATAGGAAAGAATTTATTTAAAATAATATAGTGTATATACAAGTCTCAGATATAGTAGGTCATATATTTGACTTCATTAGGCAGTTACCTCTGAATTATTCAGCAATTGAATTGTCAAAACACAACTTTGTATATCGTTGGGTGTTCTGGTGTGGCAAAATACTGTATTGTGATGTCCATAGAGAATACTACATAAAACTGTCAGTAGTTTATATTCTAAAGTCAGATCTCTAGAAAATTCATATTAATTTATTTTATGAATGGAACTGAAAATATTAAAAATGGATCTCTTTCTTTTGTTTTTAATTGCTAATTTAAGATTAAAGTATCTGTGGCTTCAGGAGGAAACTGTATTCGAACATACAGACCAGAAATTAAAAAAGGATTGTACAACACTGTTATTCTCAACGTAAAGACAACTGTTGCTGATAATCTACTTTTTTATCTTGGAAGTAATAGATATGTAAGTCCACATTCGTTTTTCTTTTAAAAATTGTTACCATCTGATTGTATATTGATATTAATTCTGGCAATATAGCTGGAGCACCATCTGATGTTCAGAGGGCATTACTGTTGCCATGATATCATCCCATATCATTATGTCTGCATTTTCCAAAGCAACAGCAAAAGCAAGTGTTATTATCAGAATCCGTTGGCTCAAATTAGGGTACTGTCACCACCTATGTAAGAAACTGACCAGTAGTGTTCCTACTGCTGAATCCTTAACTAGGCTCAATTAATCTGTTATGGGGGTGCCTTCCTTGGAGTGAGTCAAAATGATAAATTTGATAGGGATAGGACCCGGACCATTTTTATTTTACCAGAACAGTGATAAATAATGTTTAAAAAACTGATGGTATTGCTAGCACTGCCATTAACTATGCAATAATGAAAACAATTTGAAAGAGGAAGCTGGGGTAGGGGGAGAAGACAATGATATGACACTTGTTAGGAGGACCTATGCAGCCCCATCCAAATGGAGAGACTCCAAAGGAACTAAATGCATAGGAAAAATAAATAAAGATCAAAAGAGCTTCTAGTAGAAAATCTAATTCATAAAGTTTTAAGGAAATAATACAACTGATGTATTAATTATCTTTATAAAAATTAGGTCATGTTTTTTAAAGTTCTCTTTTGTTTCTAAAACACACAAGAAAAAATAAGCTACAAAACTGATTCAAAAAGAAGTTTCAGCAAAAAAAACCCCATTATATACTAGTGTAAAATCATTAAAATAAATTAGAAAAAAAAATTGTGAGAGGTATCCTTGGGCAGCAGATACGATTATGCAAAGATATGAAGTTATGATAAAGAGAACTGGAAGTTATTAAATCTCCTCTTGGTATAATGTTTCCTCCTCACTTTACCTATATTTTTAAAAATAGATTTAAATATTTTTGAATATGTAAATTTTACAGGATATTATAGATTATGCAAGACAATGATTGACAGCCATTACTAATGGGAAAGATAATGTTTCAACTCATAAATATTACATATGAAACATGATAAAGAAAGAGATTTTCAGAAAAAAAAATTAGAATAATTATCCTTTCATGGTAATATATAGCTATTCATTGCTCTTAATTGCTTCATTTTCACTGTTTTACTAAATATCACTTTGCATTATTTTACCAGATTGTTTCAAAGGTAGCAAATACTATTATTATGCTATTATGCTTCCTCATTCTAGACTGACTTCTTGGCCATAGAAATGCGTAAAGGAAAAGTGGATTTCTTATGGGACGTGGGATCTGGTGTTGGGCGTGCGGATTACCCAGATCTCACAATTGATGATGGAGTTTGGTACCGAATTGAAGCATCAAGGTAAGTTCCTAAGATCTTCCAGACTAATTGTATCACTCTCAAATGGCGATTCCATGCTCCAATTTTCAAAAAACTTAGCAAAAAGATATCATTTTCAAAATGTCATCACACTCGTGCAAATTCTTTTGAAAGTAGTTCTTCTGGGATGTGTCTTATTGTATTTTTAGAATCTAATACAATGTAAGGCACGATCAAATATAAAAATTGGAAATAAAGCAATTTTAAGGATCCTTCTCAGGGTGCAGTAAATAGTTATTATGGCCCCGTGGGAAGGGGAAGAAGACTCCAGGTGAGATGTCTCTGTGATACCTGCTGCCTACCTTGTTCCCTTTTGTCTTCAGGCATCCTGCCCTCAGAGAGTAGGCCAAAGTATGGACTTACTAAGTGGAGAATATTCTGCCAGTGCTTTTGCAATATGGAGAATGTTGTGTTAGCTTTTTATTTATTTATTTTTGTGTGCACTGCGTCTGAGTTTCTTTGATTTTTGTTGTATGAGTGCAAAAGCATAATATAAACCTAACAAATACAAGAAATATTTTAAAAGCCCTACTGACCTTTTAGACATCAGAATCGGTATACCATTTTTAGTGGCATACTATTGTCCAAGTGAATAAAGCAGTGACCCATCTTACTTACCTATCATTTTGCCAATTTGGCTGTGACAAAAGTACTTTGTGAATAAAACTAATTGGGATGATGTGTTCCTCCCACACATTAGAAAATGGACCGAGGAATAGCAACATCTGAATAACATGGGTTGTGGGAGCAATCCCTAAGCTGAAATCTTCTGAGGGATCTGTCTTCAGATCATTTCAAGTTTCCCCATCTACCATTCTTATCAAATTTTGTAAATGAACCTACCTTTTGTTGTAGCTTTGTCTGTGCATGCATATGCAGTGCTCATGGGCACTGGAGCATAGAGCGCAATCATGGCAGGCAAGTCCTATGAACCTGCAATTTTGGAATGGTGGTATCAGGCAAGAGTCTAAGGCAGGAGAAGACTCGCAGCCCTTTCGAATGGATCAGCTCTTCACATTATTGATTTTATAGGAGACTTGAGACTATATCAGAAAAAAGTACAGCTTCCAAATCATTCTTTGAGATTAAGCCTTGAATGCTAATTCCTTTGATTAAAGTTTGAGCCCTTTCAAATATGTGTTTTGATCTGCATGCTGATTAAACTATGTCACTTGACAGGTTCTGATGGAATGGTTCTGTTGGAAACTCAAAACTGAAGTACTTTTGTCTTGGTCTGTTAAAGTGCCATTCATGATATGGTTTACTATACTGCCATAATAAATCCATTGAACTTATTCAGAGTGCAAAAGCATGTCTGTCATGAAAAAAACAGACAAAGGAATAAACAAATCAAGAGATGAGCCTTGGTATTCTGGAGTGCTTCAGATTCAAAAGGCGGGGAAGGGAGTGAGGAAGTGCAAAAAAGAAAACAGATGAATATGTCTGTTCAGTAAAATATAAAATATTTTTGATGCATGAAGTCATTGGAGTCTATAGAATAAATTGATGTTTGTTATTTTCCAGTATCTTTTATTTTCTGCTCCAAATAAAGGAATTGTGACCTTTATCTTTTAAAAATAAATGAGCTGCATTTTAGATTTAGAGATGAAAATCCCTGCAAACTATGCAAGCTAATATAAATAACTAAGAAATTGTCCTCTCCATTTGTGTGGTGTGGACTTTCAGGCAACCGATGTGGTGGATTGAAATTGTAGTCCACATAATTCTGTGTTTCCATAGTGGAGTTTTTCTTCTTCTGAGATTAAAATAATAGACTGGCTTCATCTCATAACTTCTTGCCACAGGGATTACATGTTGCCAGGCATCTGTGTTTCAACCTAGTCGGTAGGTATACATTCCTATCAGCTTACACTTCACATGAAATCATTCCCTAACAATCAGAATCCATAGTGTATCCTAATAGCTTAAAACCTGAAAACAGAAATTCACAAAATGTCACCTTGCATGTGTGAATATCTTCAGAGGTTGGAGAGATTGCTTGTATTCACAGGAAGGTGAATACTGTATTAGTTGATAGTAGCAAAACTCATTCCCATGTTTTCTCTCTTACAGGACTGGAAGAAATGGCACAATTTCAGTACAGGCATTAGAGGGTCCTAAAGCCACCATTATTCCTAGCATTTCCAGTGCAATTTCTCCACCTGGTTACACGATTTTAGATGTGGATGCAAATGCCATGCTCTTTGTTGGAGGTTTAACTGAGAAAATAAAGGTAATGAGTGACTCTCTGCTTAATTAGTCATTGTAACCATATGGGCTTTTCTTTGTTTTATTTGAAATATTTGCTTGAGAGGGAGCAGTCTTAAATCACTGTCCTCTGTGAGATTTCAGAGAGTTGTGCAGGAAATGACTTCTAGGCTGCAGTCTAATTAATTGCCAATGAAATAAATATCACAATAATGACAGTACTTAGATCTACATTATTCAAATTTGAAGCAGATATGCCTTAGCTACTCTTGTTTTCAAGTAGTGTCAGCAACTGTCATCCCTTTAAAATCTTCTGAGATTAAGATTCCTTAATGTGCCACCAGCAAACAATGACCTGTACTACACTTGATAGAAAGCACATTTCCCACTTTAGATACAATTATTTATTTATGGACTTTCATTGCAACTGAAAAGATCCACAGAATGGTACCAATATTAATTGGAATATGACACATTTTACAAAGATATATAATCATGAAAGGATCAAACATTGCTGTATTAATTCCAGCCCATAGAACAACAGAGCTTAAAGCATCTTTGCTGTTGGATGGGGTTGCACTGTCACAAACAGATCTTGTGCACAATCTGAGCTTTCTCCTAAATTATTTTCTTCTGCTGTGGTGAGGCAGGGGTTAGTGCAGTGTTGCCTGACCAGCTCAAGGTTGACTTAGTCTTGCGTCCTTCCGAGATCAGTAAAATGAGGACCCAGATTATTGGGAGCAATATGCTGATTCTATAAACCTCTCAGAGAGCACTGTAAAGCACTATGGAGCGGTATATAAGTCTGTTCTATTGCTAAAGCACAATAGGAACTGTTTCCAAATCCCAGATTGAGGCTATATTACTAATTGTCACTATTGAAATGAGGTTTTCTCTCAGTCCCCTGTTCAGAACCGTAAGAACAGGTAGAAACTGGAATTCAGCAATGTTAAACACTAATTCCATTTATATCTGACATAAATCAAGATTCACAATTAAATTTGGATATGCAATATGACATATCAATAGCTCTAGGAAAGATTTGACTTGGTGACTAATTTATTCTAACTAATCATTAGCTCCTTCTAGCCTAATTAGACAATGAGAGAATCAGGGGTTCCCTCTTGGTTTTATTTGTATCTGACCATTGGAAAATGGCTTTGGATGGCAGATTATTTTGACCTTCAGATGATTTACCTGTAACCATATTATGTAACCTTCTTTTAAAGTGAGGCATTGTGGGTGAAATGCCTACAGCAGCAGCAACTTCCAGTGTCTTATTCAGGTGAAATATATGTGGCTATGTGTGTTCCTATGAAACCCACTGGCCATTTTTCTCAGACAAGCTGTCAGGTCAGCAGGCAAGCAGCAAAGATGAAGATAGAAAGAAAGGACAGGGAGAGAGAAAGTTGCTGGAGAAGTCTGTAATACCTCCAGTATCCTCTTGGATGCTCAAAGTTTGAAGTTGCTGATCACATCATGTGAAAAAAATAAAGGACCCAAAATAATCACATAAGCTTCCATGACTGAAGATGGACAACATTGGTCGCACTAGGAAGACCAGATCAGAAAATCAACTCCACATTAAGAGATCTACACTTTTTTGAGATAGGCTATAATAACAGAGACTTGCAAGTCTTGGATATATTGTACATCCCCTCCTGACACTGCAGTGACTCAGGGAAGCATTTTCCTGTATTGCTTCTGAATATTATTTTGCTCCCCAGGATTTTCCAAGAATTATTCAGCCCTCTTTGCCTAGGCAACAGATTTTGCACATTTCTGTCCAGATCATCTCTCTTTTTCTCCACAGACTAAACTTTGGGCCTTCTCACTCTATTACAGTGCTTTAACCACCACATTTTGAAATACTTATAGTCACATTTTCACTGAACAAGGACCACTGGGTTGAAGGGTATCGGCATAAAATTTCCTTCCTTCCTTCCTTCCTTCCTTCCTTCCTTCCTTCCTTCCTTCCTTCCTTCCTTCCTTCCTTCCTTCCTTCCTTCCAAAAAGAGAAGTGATGAAACTAATTATTTAATTATTTTTATGTCCAAATAGAATAGAGTAACATAAAGTACACACCTGAACTCATACCTGCAATAGATTCTGAAGTAAAATCCCTGATAAGTAAGTCATTTTGCATGGCCCTACAGAGACACCCATTAGACAAATGAGCCTTTAAAAACTGTTCCAATCTTCCATATGGCTCTGTATCTAATCAATCAGACTTTAAAAATAAACTGTAAATTAATCTGAAACCAGCTAGACAGATTCTGGGCTTGAACCATTCTTTAGCATATAAATTAAAAGAATTACAGCTTTTATTTACTCCTAAGACAAAATAAAGCTTTGCAAAGATCTCAATTTCCCATCTTTCTGTTTAAGGCTGTTTCCATAATATATAATTCATTACGTTCATATAGTAATTTATAATTACATGTACAATTTTTGTATCAACCTTGTACTGGGATGGATAGGTAGATGGATTGTCAGATCCAACTTGGATCCTAAACTCTTTTTTAAAATCCAATTTGGCTTCACTTCTCTTATATCATTTTTTATTATTATCAGCATCTGCTTTAAATCTCAAATAATTTTCTATATCCTTTGTTAACTCTTTTTTTTTCTCATCTGATACTTTTCCAGTAGTTTAAATCCTGATGTTTCCTACTCAGTCCTAGTGCTATAAATAGGCACATAATCCACAGATAATTTCATTCATGCATTTCAATATTGTATATGCATAAACTCTGAATAAGCGTTATCATTTGAATTGAAGTGATGCATAAATTTGTAGAAAAATACCTTCAGAAATTATACTATGGTTTTGGGATTCTTAATTACATATTTAATTCATTAATTATTCAACTTAGAGATCCCTCAACCCCAAAATACTCTAGGTAGTTCACACCATAAAAACAAAATAACAAATATACAATCAAAGTAGAACATAAAATAGTAAACAAGGTAGGGAATTAATTAGCAATAATCATACACATAGCAGGAATTTCAACTACCCTAGTCCAGGGGTGTCAAACTCAATTTCATTGAGGGCCACATCAGCATTACAGTTGCCCTCGGGAGTCTGGAGGGGTGCGGCCTACTGTGTGGGCGTGTATGGAGTGGTGTGGCTTACTGGGTGGGTGTAGCCAGCTCTACATCATTTGCGTCAAGGATGCCTGTGGGGGCCTGGGCAGGAGTGGGACAGATCTGAGGGTCTCTGGCAGAAGGGGATGGGACTAGGGCAGAGCCCATCAAGCCGGATATGTGAAGTAGGCGAGGGCCATTTGCTGGCCACTTCCAGGCGATGGTGCATTTCTTCATTCCTCACAAAGTGTGACACCTCTCCAACATGCAGCCAGGGGGCGGGGCCAATGTGGCACAGGCCGTTCCCTCACTGTTTCCAAGATGGCTTCATGGGCCACATGAAACCACTTCGCGAGCCACATCTGGCCCCCGGGTCTTGTGTTTGACATGTCTGCCCTAGTCCATTGATTTATTTATGTAATGCATTGAAGAAGAATATCCATTATGGCCATGATAGTTCAGATTAATGTTAATCATGGGTACGTAATAAGGGACCTTTCCAGGTAGTTGCTAAAAGCCAATCCTGGCTCAAAAGAAATCAAAGAAAAACAATAATAACACCAACATCTGCCTATCTTAGGACCTTGGGAAAGATTTGATATGTGGATAGAAATGCCAAATTCAATCTAAACATCTGTCTGAGATATGACGAACAGTAACAACAATTATACTTACCCTTTTCTCTTTAAGAGCCCAACATAGTAGATTAGTATAACATTCAAAAAATAATTCCATTTCTGAACTTGCTACTTCTTTCATCCATTTTTTCTTTTTAAAAGTTCTTTTCAATGTGAATTGTTTAGTTTGTAATGCCAAGTTTGCCATATTCACAGTGAATTTTGAAGTTTTTCAGAATTCATGCAATGTCTCTTTTGAAAGTCAAGTTTCTGTTCTCCAGATGTTCATACATTAATATTTTTAATACTCATAATTCTTTATGAAAAGTAGCAGGTGCTTATATGTCTCAAATTGCTAAATATCTGGAAGCAAAATGATATTGATGAAATGAGACATAAAAGATAATTAAATACTTTTGAAAAAGACAACTTCCGCTGAGAACAATTCTCTTTTAGCAATTCAGCAGTTACAATAAAGTGTTCTTCAAACTGCTGTGGTTTGTGTGATTATATTGCTAACTTGTGATAATTATGGTTGTACAAAGCCAAGTTTAAAAGGCTACTCTAAATTATAAAAAAAAAACTAAGGCTCATCCTAACATCTCTAAAGTACCCTCTTGCTGATTGATTTTAAGGTACTTGTTCTCATTTTTAAAACAAAAATGCCTTTGTTATTTAATGAACCAGAAAAAAGAAGCAAAATTTTAAAAATGATGTATTAAAACTTCTCATACACATATATATTTTTATTCAAGAGTTTCAGTGAAACTCTTATATTTCATTATAATTAGCATTTATCTACATCAGTAATCATCTATATCAATAAGCAATTTGTTCATAAAGGTTGTGGGTGAATAGAAGGCCCTAGAAATTTATACAGCTAGTCCTCAAGTTCACTTAGCAGCAGTTCAAAGTTACGACCCCCCCCAAAAAAAAAGTACTTATGATCCAGTCCCGAAGTTATGAAAGTTGTAGCACCACAGCAATCATTAATCCTTATGTCGACCACAGAGACACTGCAACTTTCCCCCTGCCTATTCCCCCACCACCACAGGGACCTAACAAGCACGGCCTTGCTATGCTAGCCCACTGACTTCTCCCCACCCCATTACCGACTGCTCAGTTACCTTTCAAAGATCCAGAGTTCCAGAATAAGCTCACCGCTCCTTCTCTCTCCTCGAACAAGCTGTCTCCTCTCCAGCCTCCTTGTCACGGGGTTTGTGTGGCAGCACAGTTTCTTTGCCTGCTCCTGGTGCTCCAAAAGTGGAGTGGTAAGAACAGAGGCAGAGCGAGATGAGTGCCCCCTGCTTAGCTTGGCTGACTCACCGAGGTTGCCTTTTGGAGTGCCAGGCAGCCTCAGTGAGTCTGAAGGAGCGTGAGATTGCACCTACGAAGGCTTCCATCCCTTTGCAAAAGTTTTTGGCATGGAGAACAGAAGCCTTTGGGGGCGCGATCTTGCACTCCTTCAGGCCTCTGTCCTTTTGCTTCTTCAGACTCACCAAGGCTGCCCAGTGCTCCAAAAGCAGATCAGGTGCCCTGCATAGGCAACCTCAGTGAGTCAGCCAAGCTGAGTAGGGCGTGCTCATCCTGCTTAGTATCTGTTCTTGTTGCTCCTCTTTTGGAGCCCCAGGAGCAGACAAAGAAACCAAGGCAGAGAGGCTGGAGAAGAGACAGTTCGCTTAATCATCAAAATCTTTGAAAGGTAAGTGAGTCTCCACAGGCCCAGTGCCTGTGGAGATCCAGTGAGGCAGGATGGGAGGGGGGAAGCATGAGATGTTTCAGTGGGTTGGGGAAAGCCTTGGGTGGTTGGAAACACTAGACCCTCCCCCCATGGTCTTCCCCACCCTGACATACCTCATGTGCACTTAATGACCTGTGCATTTGATTAGTGAATGCATTTGATAAAACAGGAAGGGATCACGTTCATTTAATGTGATCCAATTAACGAATCTTCAGGTTATGAATATAATTGGCAGGCTTTATTGTAAATAACTTATAAAGAAGTCACTATAGTTTTAGGTGTTCAATCCTCTGAATAATTGGGATCATAATTTTACATTTCCAAAATTGAAACACAGGTCTTTTACCAATAAGACCAATGCAGAGAATCCATTTGCTTTGTCCAGCCATCAATATTAATGTAGGTATGTTGATCAAAAGAATATTGTTGTGGGAAAACATAAAGCCCTGTTTAAATGTGTAATTATTTATTTGATGAATATAATGATTTTAAGGAATTTAAAAAAATACGTTTTGATGAAGCGCGTTTCTCAGTTTGGACCTATAGCATTTTTAGCTTCCGAGACATCTAAGTTATTAGATTTTTATCACTAAAGGCCAATAAGATAATTTCCACAACAGTCTTTATAAATATTTTCTATTGATCACTCTGTTTCATATGCCATTTTAAAACACTGACTAAAACAAGGAATTAGAAATTTCTATTTTGCCTAAACAAGACGAAAATTTCTTAAAGATTCTGTCATAGTTCAATAAACTAAGGTTTATCATACACATATTTAAAAAGTGAATTTGTTGGACTTTAATGTGTTTGTATATAAAATAATCACTGGGGTTTTTTTTGAAGGGAAGTATCCTAATTACATTGCTTTCATCTGACCTCCAGACCAGTTGTCTTAATGCCTTTGTGTCTATCTTGCCATGTAACAGTCTACAGCACCTCAATGACAATGGAATGATAAAGAAATCTGTTAGCTCTTTTGCCAGTTTAAAGCTTTGTCAGACTCCATTTCCACTCAGGTGCTGGCCCTACCTTCTGTAGCCACGTTGCCATCGACTGCAAGAGAGAGTAGACACTTGGCTTGCACAGAGGCATCTGTCCTGTCTTTGTAATGTCCTCCCAGTGCTTCAGAAACTGCTGATTAAATCTTATACAAGTTCCTCAGGTACTAGGATATAGTGGCCTTCTAGAGAACAAAGACTTGTTTCTAAACACATATGCATCCGTTTGTCTCTGTACAAAGCAAATCTGCAACATTGGCTGATTTAAACAGGGAAAGTTATTGCCTCTTCTGATGTTCCAAATGAGTTTCTCACTGGTTCCAACAAGAATGGGTTTCATATGGCCAAATATCCTACTTGCTTTATTTTGTATTAGGTTGGGAGAGATGCTGTAGAGTAGTGATGATCTCTCTTGGATGTTACTAATCATTACCAGCACTGCTATTCCTTTACTCTAAGGTTCAAAATGGTCTCAGCTAAACGGTTCGTGATAGGGTATAAGGAGAGTACAGGATCACCAGGAACTCTATTGATATATCTGCAAGCTTTCTCCCATTCCACACCATGAGAGGTGAATCAGGTCTTTAAGGTCCTCAGAAATGCCACCTGGATCTCAGGGACAATCCCATTCCACAGGGCAGGTGCTGTGACACAGAAGTCATGTTTCTCTCTCCAAGTCAATCATTTCTGTCTTAATAGCTTCCACTTCTGTTGAAAATTAGACAGTATGGACAAATACTGGCTTTTGTTACAAACTGTAATAGAGTCTATGAATAAAGAATTCAATACTTAGCCGGCATACTTTCTTTTTCCAGAAATCTGATGCTGTGAGAGTCACTACTTTCACAGGATGCATGGGAGAAACCTATTTGGACAGCAAACCAATAGGACTATGGAATTTCAGAGACATTGAAGGAGAGTGTAAAGGCTGTGCTGTCAGGTAAGGGTTTTTTCCCTGTAATATTGTTTTGTAATTGTAATTATTTTTAAAAAATAATTAGCTAAGCATCTCACAATCTTTTTTTTTCAATATACTAGTACTTCTTTTTTATATAGAATGGCATTTTGAAAGGCCATAATTAGGTTTGTTTAGCACAAGGATCAGCCTTTTGAAACCCAAATCATTATTAAAACCACTCTGAAAAATGAAAATTGTATGGCATAGCTCACAATATTCACCATCCCCTCCCCAGTACATATAAATGATAAATGAATGACTAAAAATATATAGGAATTATATATTTACAAGCATATAAAGTTAATCTTTACATTTCTAAAAACGTCGCCAAGACACTTCCAATTTTACGCGGGAGAAAACCTGAACAACCAAAGACCTACATATATATATATATACACATATATATATACACATACACCAATAGATACTACAGAAACAATATCAATACATGATGATATTAGAATGGTGGTATATGCATTGTGACATCATGTAAATTATGCAGCTACCTAATGATGGATCTTGCAAATATGTTTCATTTGTGTGATGACATTATAACATAGATGTCCACATTTACCATCTTGTGGATGTCAGTATATGGATGCAAATATAACATATATAATATGTATCTCAGCAAGGTCTCATATCATATATGAGCTGTGTGAAACTTTGATTCACAGCTTTGTGTTTCTATTTCATTTAGCTATCTGATTCCCTGAATGCATGAAATTAAACTGTATTCCTTCAGATCAATAAATTGATAGGTTTTGGTTCATGCACTTGATATACAGTACTACATCAAATCAAATAGATTTTGGCTGAATAAAATTTACTTGCTAAAATGATTCAGTGGACTTTTGCAACTTGTTACAAGATTGTTGTGCTACATAAAATTTGATTCAAATCATCTATACCAATCAGTTTGAATGAATGATTCAGATAGACTCATCTTTGTCTCAATAATTCTAACTGAAATGATGATTTTAATCAGCTGTTAGATGATTCTGATATCTAACTTTCCAAATTTGATTATTTTGTATTTCTTCACATCATAGCCCCCAGGTGGCAGATGGTGAGGGAACTGTTCAGTTTGATGGAGAAGGTTATGCTACTGTGAGCCGTCCCATAAGATGGAACCCCAATATCTCTATGGTCATGTTCAAATTCAAGACATTTTCTTCAACTGCTCTCCTGATGTATCTTGCTACTCTAGACTTGGTAAAACTATGCTTCTTAGACTTGTGTTGTTCACATTATGGCATCTGCAAGTTCCTGTAAAGAGAAATTAAATATATATCAGTTTCCCTGTGGATGAATTTTACAGTGAACATTGAGTTTTAAGACTGTTTATAGATAAAGTAGGATAATTTATGAGGATTTAATACAACAACTCATATAATACTAACAGTATAATACAGATCATTAATATGATTGTTCTTATTATTCCTAGTGTAGGTGCATTGGCAAAGAACCACTTGTATTATATACAGTATTATATACAGTATCTATCAGCATTTCTTTAGCAGTTACAGATGGGCATTATGTAGTGTAAACATTCACTAGAATTTATCTATTTATTTTAACAATGACTTTGATGTTAGGAAACATAGGGGTTTTGTTTTCTTTTAACAGCAAATACTACATGCAAAACACTGTTTCGGGACAAATTCATAACCATACATTTCAATATATCCCTGCACCCTTAATATCCAAACTGTGGCATACATATCTATCAGTGGAGTGATAGGTACTTTTTCTTATTTTTTCAGTGAGGGCTGCCTTTCCCAGGAGCAATGCTTTTGGGTAGAGGTATGCTAAGTTACTGCCTTGTCGTGGCGAAGGGGCTTGTGTAACTCAATGAAGCTATAAGCTATGCCGTGCAGGGCCACCCAAGATGGACAGGTTATAGCAGAGAGTTCTGACAAAATGTGATCCACGGGAGAAGGAAATGGCAAACCACTCCAGTATCTTTGCCATGAAAACCCCATGGACAGTACTAAAAGGCAAAAAGATATGACGCTGGAAGATGAGCCCCTCAGGTCGGAAGGTGTCCAATATGCTACTGGGGAAGAGCAGAGGGCTAGTACTAGTAGCGCCAGAAAGAATGAAGCGACTGGGCCAAAGCCGAAAGGACGCTCAGCTGTGGATATATCTGGTGGTGAAAGGAAAGTCCGATGCTGTAAAGATTTTTTCTCCATAGGAACCTGGAATGTAAGATCCATGAATCAAGGCAAGCTAGACGTAGTCAAAAAAGAGATGACAAGACTGAACATCGACATCTTAGGAATCAGCGAACTAAAATGGACAGGAATGGGTGAATTTAACTCAGATGACCATCAGGTATACTACTGTGGGCAAGAATCCCTCAGACGAAATGGAGTAGCCTTCATAGTCAATAAAAGAATAGGAAAAGCAATACTGGGATACAATCCCCAAAATGACAGAATGATCTCAATTCGAATCCAAGGCAAACCATTCAATATCACAGTAGTCCAAATCTATGCTCCAACCACTGGTGCTGAAGAGGATGAAATTAACCAGTTTTATGAAGCCCTACAGCACCTTATAGAATTAACACCAAAAAATGATGTCCTTATCATCATGGGGGATTGGAATGCTAAGTAGGAAGCCAAAAGATAACCGGAATAACAGGCAAGTTTGGCCTTGGAGTACAAAATGAAGCAGGGCACAGGCTAATAGAATTTTGTCAAGAGAATACGATGGTCATAACAAACACTCTTTTCCAACAACCCAAGAGACGGCTCTACACATGGACATCACCAGACGGTCAACATAGAAATCAGATTGACTATGTGCTCTGCAGCCAAAGATGGAGAAGCTGCATACAGTCAATAAAAACAAGACCAGGAGCTGACTGTGGCTCAGATCATGAGCTTCTCGTTGCAAAATTTAGGCTTAAATTGAAAAAAGTAGGGAAAAGCACTAGGCCACTCAGGTATGAACTAAATCATATTCCTGATGAATATACAGTAGAGATGACAAATAGATTTAAGGAATTAGATCTGATAGACAGAGTGCCTGAAGAACTATGGATGGAAGTTCGCAACATTGTACAAGAGGTAGCAACTAAAACCATCCCAAAGAAAAAGAAATGCAAGAAAGCAAAATGGCTGTCTGAGGAAGCTTTGCAAATAGCTGAGGAAAGAAGGGAAGCGAAAGGCAAAGGAGAAAGAGAAAGATACACCCAATTGAATGCAGAATTCCAGAGAGTAGCTAGAAGAGATAAGAATGCCTTCTTAAATGAACAGTGCAAAGAAATAGAAGAAAACAACAGAATAGGGAGGACCAGAGATCTCTTCAAGAAAATTGGAGATATGAAGGGAACGTTTCATGCAAAGATGGGCATGATAAAGGACCAAAATGGCAGAGACCTAACAGAGGCAGAAGAGATTAAGAAGAGATGGCAAAACTACACAGAAGAACTATACAAGAATGAGCTTAACATCCCAGATAACCACAATGAGATGGTCATTGACCTCGAACCAGACATCCTAGAATGTGAAGTGAAATGGGCCTTAGAAAATCTGAGCAACAACAAAGCTAGTGGAGGTGACAGTATTCCAGCTGAGCTATTCAAAATCTTAAAAGACGATGCAGTAAAAGTGCTACACTCAATTTGCCAGCAAATTTGGAAAACTCAACAGTGGCCACAGGATTGGAAAAGGTCAGTTTACATTCCAATTCCAAAGAAAGGCAATGCCAAAGAATGTTCAAACTATCGCACAATTGCACTCATTTCACATGCTAGTAAAGTTATGCTTAAAATCCTACAAGCTAGACTCCAGCAATATGTAGATCGAGAACTACCAGAAGTACAGGCAGGATTTCGAAGAGGCAGAGGAACTAGAGATCAAATTGCCAACATACGCTGGATCATGGAGAAAGCTAGGGAGTTCCAGAAAAACATCTACTTCTGCTTCATTGACTATGCTAAAGCCTTTGATTGTGTGGATCACAACAAATTGTGGCAAATTCTTAAAGAGATGGGAGTACCAGACCATCTCATTTGTCTCTTGAGAAACTTATATGCGGGTCAAGAAGCAACAGTGAGAACTGGACACGGAACCACTGATTGGTTCAAAATTGGAAAAGGAGTCCGGCAAGGCTGTATACTGTCGCCCCGCCTATTTAACTTATATGCAGAGCACATCATGAGAAAGGCAGGGCTAGATGAATCAAACGTTGGAATTAAGATTGCCGGGAGAAATATCAACAACCTAAGATATGCAGATGATACCACTCTAATGGCAGAAAGTGAAGAGGAACTAAAGAGCCTCTTGATGCGGGTGAAGAAGGAGAGTGCAAAAGTTGGCTTGAAACTCAACATTAAGAAAACCAAAATCATGGCATCCGGCCCTCTCAATTCCTGGCAAATAGATGGGGAAGAAATGGAGGTAGTGACAGATTTTATTTTTCTGGGCTCCAAGATCACCTCAGATGGGGACTGCAGCCAAGAAATTAAAAGACGCTTGCTCCTGGGGAGGAAAGCTATGGCAAATCTAGACAGCATACTAAAAAGCAGAGACATCACCCTGCCAACAAAAGTGCGTATAGTCCAGGCCATGGTTTTCCCAGTTGCAATGTATGGCTGTGAAAGTTGGACCATAAGAAAGGCTGAGCGCAAAAGAATTGAGGCCTTTGAACTATGGTGCTGGAGAAGACTCCTGCGAGTCCCTTGGACTGCAAGGCGTTCAAACCGGTCAGTCCTAGAAGAGATCAACCCTGACTGCTCTTTAGAAGGCCAGATCCTGAAGTTGAACTCAAATACTTTGGCCACCTAATGAGAAGGAAGGACTCACTGGAAAAGGGCCTAATGCTGGGAAAGATTGAGGGAAATAGAAGAAGGGGACGACAGAGAATGAGATGGCTGGATGGAGTCACTGAAGCAGTAGGTGTGAACTTAAATGGACTCCAGAAGATGGTAGAGGACAGGAAGACCTGGAGGAACGTTGTCCATGGGGTCGCGATGGGTCGGACACGACTTCGCAATTAACAACAACAACAACAATGCTAAGTTGGTGGAGCAAAATGAAAACTGAGTGTGGTTGCTCATGTTTTTATTTTTTCCTGGTACCCCTTCTTTGATTTTCTGATAACCTCTTCTCCAAGTAGCAGGCTGACTGGAGTAGATTTTAGCAAGATTTACATTTGTGGCTTGAAGAAGATTAAGTTGTAAATTGTATATGATATTTATAATGCTGGTTCTCAATTTGCAAAAATGTTTAGGGTATTTGAACATTGCATAGAATGAGGTTTCTTGTAAATATTGATAACTCCAACCAATCTACTTTCTTTCTGCTGCAAAAGCTACTTGAAATCTTATATATTAAAAAAAATATTCCTGCAAAAGTCCAGGTTACGAGTTGTAAGAATATTTAATTGATAGATGACTAAAATCATGCTTCTTTTAACTAAGAATTGGCATTATATGCTTGTAATTATTTTTTAGCTTTTGTAATATTTATTCATAAAGTTAGCTTTTTCTAAATCAATATATATACAAAAGATGGCAAGCAGTTCTTATAAGACTATAAATATGTTCCAGCGAATCACTTTTTTGAGATAGAAAGTCTAGACATGAATTCTCCTTTTTTCCATTTTTGGGCGGAAGGTGCTGTTTTGTTTTGTTTTTTTGCTGTGTGGGACATTACCGCCAAAGTCATCCCATAATTCCTTAATGAAAAATTTCTGAATGAAAATTCATCATCGGTTTATTATCCCTAAAAGTTTGTTTCTTCTAGGAATAAGACCTAGTCTCTAACTGCCTCATTAAGTTAAGGCATCCTTAGATCGATTCCGGGCATCCTTATCATTGTCTCTGCAGGGTCAGACAAGTGGCTTGCCACTGAACTTTGACCTATTCCAGAATCTTTTCTAAAGCTGTGGGATTCCAAAGTTGACCCTGCTTGGCTTCTAAAATAACCAAATAGCGAAGGTTATCTGGATACTCCCACCTAACAAGGCAATGAACACTGCAATCTGATTTTGTTCGTCATCATTCATCATTATATTTTCTTGAAATGAATCTCATACCTTCATATACAGTAATATCGGAATGCAAATATGTGATTGAAACACAATAATTCATTTTTACTGCCTTTCTTACTTGGAAATATAAAATGTGTCTTTGTATGTCTGTGTTTTTTCCAATAAAAATAGTAATTTGAAGTCTTGTACAGAGAGGTATTTATCTTTTCAGATTGGAAGAAATTGTTCCTACTGTTTGCACAATGGGTTCCCTAAATGAATCTGAACGACAATTTCTTTTTTGAACCATATAAACTTTTTAAAAAGGGGAGACCGGGGGCAGGCAAATCTTGCAAAATGGCTGGGGACTGGAGATAATGGAAGGAACAGTCACTTCATCTATGATTGGTAGATAAAAGTACAAAGTGGGATTTACAGTATCGTAAAAAGGCTGAATCAACCTTTGTAATTTATGTTTCTCACTAACAGAAGGATTTCATGAGCATAGAACTCAGTGATGGACATATTAAAGTCAGCTATGATCTAGGCTCAGGAACAGCTTCAGTTATTGGCAACCAGAGCCACAATGATGGGAAATGGAAATCATTCACCTTGTCAAGAATTCTCAAACAAGGTGAGTTCTTGCAGGGATAACAAAAACATCCTAATTATCTTATCCAACATGGCTAACCACCTAATCACAGAGAAGATGAGTTATAAAATTGTAGGTTTAGAAAGTAGTAGAAGAAAATGATTTAGCAACTTCTTTTGCTTTCAATTATAGATGGCTCAGGTTAGTTGTGACTGATTGCAGTGTCAAATGGGTCCCTTATGATTTTGTTTTGAATGAGATAGCTTAATTCTCTAGGCATAATTCTACCTCACAGCTAGCTAAATTACACTCAGAAATGTATTTCAAGTGAAAAATGTATTTCTCATGCAGTGCCCCGATGTTTTTGCAAAGTTCATAAAACAAATCTACACTATTTCTTTTGGATGGAAGTCAGTTTTACATTTTATAGTGTCTTTCATATTTTGCATTTCTTAAAGTGACTTTAAAAGGCAGTGAATTAAATGCTGCTGGTATTATCTCTGTGCTCATAATACAAACTAGTTTCATTTTGCTAAGTGCCACAACCCTGGTATTTCCGAAAGAAAAGGCTTCCTTTAGATCAGTGGTTCTCAACCTTTTTAATGCTGCGACCCCCAACCGGTCGTAAGTCGAGGACTACTCAACCGGTCGTAAGTCGAGGACTACTCAACTGGTGCAGCACCATTTGCAGAATGGGACTTTTGGCGGGCTCAGTAGGACAGAGACAGCCTGAACAACTCCTATTGGCTTTTGAAAGCCAATAGAATTAGACTCTATTCAAGAGAGTCTATTCTATTGGCATTCAAAAGCCAATAGAATAAAAGGGGGTAGCACAGCTAAGGAAAAGGGGGAAAAATGGCGGACTGCGTTGTTTGGCAACCCCCGTGAAATGATCGTTCGACCCCAAATGGGGTCCTGACCCACAGGTTGAGAACCACTGCTTTAGATAGAAAGGATATCTTAAATGTATATAGGAACTATACTTGCTATTGAATTCCACCCAATATTTTAGAGAAAATGTAAGGATTCAAGCAAACTGAATATAATTTCAGTATAATGAATGAACATTTTCAGAAGAGTTTCACACATTGCTGAGTAACAGGAGAAAAATGTGATGCAGTGTGAACTTTTCCATCTATTAGTATTGTTTGCTAAGATGTAGAATCTGGGAGAATGTGTTTTTTTCCCCAACAAATTAAAACTTTCCTAGATTTATCTCTAAATTGAGGCTGAACTTTATAAAATGTTATAAGAAGTCTAATTGATCACATTTATTCTAAGAAGATAAGATAAGATAAGATAAGATAAGATAAGATAAGATAAGATAAGATAAGATAAGATAAGATAACCTTTATTATCATTTTTTTACTGTGGGCACAAGTGCACACATCAAAAATGAAATTTAGTTGCCTGCTCTCAAAGTGAAACATATACCTAAACATACTATGAACAACATTTGTATAGACTCACATCCCTACATATACGTAGCAAATAAATATTAAATACTGTCCATCTTGAATATATAACGGAAGGAGGAAGCTTGAAAGTTCACAAGGTTAATGCTGTATGGAATGAAACTGTGGCTGAATCTGGATGTTCTGCTACGGATACCATGAAGCCTCCTCCCAGAAGGTAACAAGGAAAACAGGTCATGAAGAGGATGTGTGGTGTCCCAGATGATCTTACGGACCCTGCTCAAGCAGCGCTTCTGTGCTATGTCCTGAATGGGAGGGAGGGGACTGCCAATGATCTTTTCGGCCATTTTCACCACTCTCTGCACCGCTTTTCTGTCTGAAGCAGTGATGCCTCCAAACCAGATTGTGATGCTGTATGACAGGATTATATTCATATGTCTTCAGTATTCTGCACTAAATTTGTATATCATATTTCTTCAGATAAATGTCACAATAGATTTATTTCGTGATATTGGCCTACATGTAAGGTGATGCACTCAAATAGCAGGAATTTCCTCTCTTTTTTTCATCTAGAAGACCTCCAGGCTCCCTTCCAACTGTGTAATTCCATGATCTTTGCATTCCTCACAATCCCCTCCATCCTCAAATATCCAGGGACTTTCTGCATATTGAAAATGCAGTTAAATGGTACAAATCATAAGTACCATTTGGATAAAGAGGGAAAAAAGTATTTGAAATAATTCCAGCTATATATACCCACACACTAACGTTTTTCTTTGTATTTTCTCAGCTAATGTATCAATTGTAGACATAGATTCTAACAATGAAGAAATCATACCAGCAGTTTCTCCAGGAAAGCACTTTGGTCTCAATCTGAAAGCTAATGAGCCCATTTATTTCGGTGGACTGCCATCGCTGAGAAGAAACCTAAGGTAGTGTGACTTAAAATATAGTTAATTATAAAGATTCAAGAGCAAAACCTGCCTCATTCATTGAACAAGACTTTATTTCCCAGTATGTTAGAGAAATCTACAAAATAATAAGATATAATCACCCTAGCACTAGGTCCAATTCCTGGCAACTACATGGATCCATCTGTACAGTTTCCAGGTCAATACGGGAGAAATTTGCTGTTGCCTTCTGTACAACTTTAATTAGGGAATTATAGGTTTATTTTGTCTATGGAGATTCTCAGTCATCCAGGTATGGTTGTCCCACAGGTGATTTTCCAGTTGCCTCCTGAAAAAGCACCTTTGGGATAGGCTTCTTTTATTTATAAAGGATCAGACTTTTCAACAGGGAGGTTGAGAGTTTTTGAGAGGCCTATAAAGACAGCCATATAGATCTTTTGTCCCCTCCTTTTTCCTGTTACTGCCTCCATCCTTGCTAACTTTTGCATCTTTCAAATAAAATAAACAATGGAATAATAGTCTACTTATTCTGAAAAAGTGTGCTTTTCTGTTGATTTTTTAAACTGCCTAATAACTACATAATCGATATTCTGCTGAATATCTCTCAGTGATTAGTGAAAAATCCATTTTAAGTCTTCCATAATTCGTAATGGCTTCTGTAGTAGAGAAAATAATGTCTCAGACAAATCTTTTTATTTATTACACACCCAAACACAAACATAATACACACAGAGACACACACATATACATGTACATATACACACCACACAAAACTCTTGTTTTTGAGGTCACTAACACGGTAGAAAATAAGCTTTACCAGTGTGGTCCTGATTTGATCTTCATTGCTTTAAAGACAATGAGGTTTGAAGTAAATATTTAACCTGTCTTGTACAACTGGTCTACCTTGCATAGGCTTGTAAGTTCCTTTTTGTAGTCTTCAATTGATGCATTGCATGTGTAACTTGGATTGCTCCCATATTTTAAATATTGAACAAGCATGCAGGTTCTTAAACTATTGGTGGCTGCTCCAGCCTGCATGCACAGCCACACAGTGAGGACCTAAAAGGGGAGAGAGAAGAAATTTCCAGGGTCACTTTTCATTTGTGGCATTATTTTGTTTCATTTGCTAAAATATTGCTGAAAATAGACTTAAGCAAATAAGAACATGACTCTAGAACCGGTGCTGACAAAAAACAAGACATCTGTTTCTCTAAAGAAATTGTCATATTCCTTTTCTTCTCAACCTAACACATTTTGAACCTTAGTTTTTAATGGGAATCATACATCAAGAAGTTGAGAAAGAACATACACTATAACGTGACCCTATTTTGGTGATTCCTGCAATGGATTTTTTTTTATTAATTTATATCACAATTCAATACCTGAAATTCCTGCTTCGTTGTCAAATTATTTGTATAAAATACATTTTGTAAGCTTTCAGTTCTGGTTCCGTAGGAAGATGCATAGATATTGGAATTTGTTAGATATTTAAATTGTTAATAAATAAACTATGGAACCTTTCTGGTGGTTTACAGAAACATAAATGAAATATAGGTGCAAATACTGAACAATCCAGATATTTATAGCATAGCAACTAAAGTTATGGCAACTTCACCTTTAAAAATTAATCACAATAGATGTAAAACTCCTTATTCCTGTACCCAGAGATCTGGAAAGGAGAAGCAAATCCAAATAACCTTCTGTTGGTTGATGGAACTGATGATGCAGTTATTTGTTTATTATTGTTTCCTTTTGCTTCTGTTTGACCATATGTTTAAGTTCTTGTAGTTCCACGGAGAATCTGTTGAAAAAATTATTTCCTGCTCATTTTCAACAGGAAATTAAGCAGAATAAGTGTTAAGAGGCTTAAAACACACCTTTATGAAACCAAAACAGAAAGTCTCTGAAAAGGAAGACAATGTATTGAAAATCCCAGTTCTCCCCCCTTTCATTAGCACCCTGTCAAAGGCAGCTACCTGATTTCTGCAATATACAATAACAATTTTTTTAAAATGACTTTCCTCCCCCAAAATATTGCTTGGCTCTGCAGATCTTGGAATGAAGTGTCTCCACGGCTTTCCAAGATGCAAGCTGATAGAATAGCCCATTAGCTTCATCGGTTCTTTTAGGAGAATCTAATTGTAAAAGATGTCTAAAGGTCTTTCATTTGGTTTTCTATTCAGTGTGATTCTTACACTGCCCCTCAGCCTTGGCTTCTCAGCCACAGAATTGACTGCCTCCCCCCCCCCCACACACACACACACATTCAGTAAAGATGGTATTGGAATTAAAGAGATGTGTTAGGGGAAAGGCAGCACAGCTTTTCACTTTCTTCTCCACTTCACACATCAATCACATAATCAATGGTTCTCAACCTGTGGTCTGCGGAACCCTGGGGAGGACCATGATGTCATCACAGGGGGTCCACAAAGGCTTGAAGTAATGTTATGATTTAAATCTTTTGTTAAGTCTTGGGGGTCCATGGTCCATGGCCACAAAAGGTATTTAAAGGGGGTCTGTGGTGAGGAAAAGTTGAGAACCACTGATTTACTCAGTAGCCTAACTCTACCTTAATCTTAGCTGTAAAGTGGTGCCAGTATTTTGGCCCAGAAAACCCCTGCTCTCTCTCTCTCTCTCTCGCTCTTTCGCTCTCTCTTGCTCTCTCGCTCTCTTTCTCTCTCCCTCTCTCCCTCCATACATCCTTCCATCCATCCCACAACCAAACTATTCATGATGGTTAAAACAATATAAAGAAAAACAATAGTACAAATATAATAACAATAAAATAACAGAAAACATAAAAGCAAACATGATTACAATGCTCTCCAGAATATATTTTGCTGAATGAAACTGGGGAAGGGGGGAGATGGCCAGACTGAACTCCACTGGAAGACTATTCTAGAGGTTGGTGCTACCGCTAAGAAGCAGCTGTTTCTGGCCTCAGCTGCCATTAGCTCTCCAAAATGAAATACTACCTAGAAGCAATCTTTCCCTTGGCCAATTTTGGTTGAAGCAAGGGGTCTGTATGTACCCTGATGCCGAGCAATAATGGTCCGATATGTCAAAAATGGCACTTTTAATTGAGCCTGCAAACTAATTGATAGCCAGGGCAGGGTTCTTATCACAGGTGCTCTCAAAGACAAGTGCCTGTTAACACAGGGTCTATTGCATTCTGAAGTAAGGTAGCATCAAAGGGCTCTTTAAAGATAATTTCAAGTAAAACACATTGCATCCAACCTGGATGATAATATGGGTGTGAATCATTGTAACGAGATCCTCAAAGCTGGTATTCCAGCTGAAGCTGGGCAAAAACACTATCAGGTGCTACAACTCTAGAAAGAGCCCCAATATTTACCGTGCTTATATCAAGTTGAGAAAAAGAAAACCAGTTTAGCTAAGTCCTGCCTGAACTTTTGCTTTTCGTGGGCATGTAGTTCCCTACTGGCAAGACTATGACACAGGGAAAATTATTTAGAAGAAATTGTATCCACTCCCTAGACTATATTTGAACCTATCTAAAAAGCTGTATTGTTACAAAACTGTCAAAAATAACAAAACTGTTTTTTTTCTTCTCCCTTTTTTATTTTTATTCTGTTTTTTATCTAGTATGAAATCAAGGTAAAAGACATAACATTTAAATCAATGCTTGCATGCTGTAAGCTTTGCATGGGTTAAGTGCCGCTTGCAGCCAGTGGCAAAGCAAAAGCAATTTGTGTATGTCTTTATTCCAGCTGTTGCTCTGGGGCTTGCTCAGTTGGCAACCGATCCTGCTGCAGCACATCAAGCTACCCCCAAGTGTTTAACAGAGACCTGCCTCATGCTGCGTACAATCGCAGCAAGAGACACTTAGCGAGCATCTTCACACAGCGATTTACATCTTGCTGTGTTGGGTTTTTTTTGGGTTTTTTTTTTTTGGTTTTGTTTTCATTCACTTTTTCCCCCTGTTCCTTTTAAATTAATTAGATCAGGATCCTAAGGAAAGAAAAAGTCTAGATATGAATTATAATAATACTAGCTTTAAAAAGCAGTCTATGTTTCAACTCAGTGTGGGTCAGATTAATGATCCAACTTGGTAAAAATATTGGAGGAGTGAGAATTTGAAAACATGGATAGATTTTTTTAAAAAAACACTATCTAACTTGGACTTTTCAAGCTGATGTATTTGAGAAGGTTGAGATAGCAGTTCTCTTGATGTGAGCCACAATCCAGTGCTTCTGGCAATCACCAGTCTAGAAGAACTAAATATTCCTCTCATATTTCCATAAAGGCTAAAGGAATATCTCTTTCAAGGACATAACTTTTTCTGTCATGTTAAGGAAGTGCCCTTTGTGGTTGAACTGAATAAAAATCCAAATAGTCCAGCTATTAGTTTTGAACGGAAGACAACGAAAAGACTTTGTTTGATTGTAAGGCAGATATCAAGCTGATTATTCTCATTCCCTTGTTGTTTTCATCTGTGCCTCACGGGTTACAGAAGACTAGCATAGTAGCTAAAGGTTCTGTATAGCAGTCCTGGTAATAAGATTCAGATTTGTTTCCATTGACTCTAGAAGCCAAAGCATTGTCTGTCATGCATGGCATTTTTAATTAGCTTCATTTTTTTTCATTGCTTCAAACAAAACTTCAAAATTGTTTCCAAGACTTCCTTTATTCAGATGGCTCCTACACATGTGTATATTAAAATTAGAATTTTTCACGTGATAAGGTTGAAGACAGAGATTTTCTTCCCGATCTTTGTAAACTGTACTCTGTTCCTTTAAATATGTAATTAGGTAATATCATGGCTCCTACTTGAAAATGAACCATAAAATCAATTTTTGGAGTCATTTCAACATTTTAAATTGGTTCAAGTAGATTTTCTAGATCAATGTGATTTTTGTGAGTTGATTTGGGGTTCCCAATTGGATTTGACAACTTCATTCATTCAGAGACTTGATCAAATCACTTCCAATCAAATTTCTAAATCTGGGCATCATACAGCCCAAGAAATACTAGAGGGAAGCAAAGTTGTTATAAAAATGCAATAGACTTTTAAGAAACAGGGAAAAATTCACATGGGAGAATAATGCTTGACATTAAGTTAAAACTAAATTGTATTTATTATTACCAGATCTGCTTTTCTAGCTCTGTTGGTGTCCACAGGGAAATGAGAATAAACAGCATGCAAATTACCCCATCCTTACATTAACTTCAGTTGGCAAAATAGAATAGAATGGAGATAGTTCCTTATTTTTTAATCTAAATTTCTGAGTACTGCCAGTTTTTGAAAGAGGGATGCTACGCTTTGCTGAGATGGCTTCAGTGCAATTGAAAAAAAGAAAGCCAACAACAATGAAGCAAAATTTTAAAAGTGCTGTTTATGAACATTTAAGCTGTTAAATTAGAGTATATTACAATTCTGTACATATATGAATTTTGAAAGATTGTGTTTCATGTCTAATGCCAGATAAATTCTTATTTTCACAAGCATCTTTCACTTGGTAAATATATAAGTTAGCCATGTATCTCAGGATACCTCTGTTTTCTGTAGCGTAGCTTCTGTACAAAATTCAGGGCCAATCTATTTATAAAATAGTTTTTCATGGCTAGTGGAGTGGTAACATGAATATGGTAAAAATTTATTTTAAAAAATCAGAATTATTTGGTCCGGGGGGTGGGGTCATTGGATTATTGTAATGTGTTGCTGGTTTTTTTTGCAAATTTGTGAAGTTAGAGTCTTTTATTCAAGATTTCAAGATACATAGTAGCGTGTATTTTAAATTATATCTTTCCCTTGTGAGCAAATATAGTACAAATCAAATTTAAACAACAAAAGTGCCAGTGTACCTTCTGAATTGCACAATAATGGTGATACTTTTGAGTAGATCTCATGTCAGACTAGTAAGTGGCTAGAATATCTTTAACTGGAAATTCTAGTATTAGAAAAATAAACAAAGACATTTGGATGAGAAGTGAAACGTCTTCAAAGAGAAAAAAGGAAGTCCATTTGCCTCATGAAAAAGCACCTTTGGGATTGAATGCTTACAGTGCATAAGACATTGTACAAGAATTAATTTAATCCTATAGCCGTTATATTCTAGAAGAGTAGCAATTCTTTGCGGAAAGAATTTTGTCTTTGTGTATTATGGTAGGAATTCATGAGTTCAATGGTTCTTAAGTCCATGAAATTTTATTTATCATGTATGCATTGGTCTTTAACTGGAAAATAAATCTATTTTTACTTTATATTGACAGACCAGAAGTAAACACAAAGAAATATGCAGGCTGTCTAAAGGATATTGAAATTTCCCGGACACCATATAATCTTTTAAGTAGTCCTAACTATCTTGGCATTACCAGAGGGTGCATATTGCAGGTTAGTTTCTGAACTCTCTATGTTCTCCTTGAACAAGTTAAAACTACTGGTTTACATTAGCAAACAGTTAATTTATAACTTGCACTGAACTAATTAAGAAAGGAGAAACTTGCCCTTGGGTAAATTTTTGTATAAATTTCTCCATCTCCTTCCATTTGAACATAGATTGCCATTGCATCCAATCCATCAAACCAAAGTTTCATTACAGGTATTCCTCAAATTTCAACTGCATTTAATGATGGTTCAGAATTAAATGGTTTCAAAAAAAAAAGTGACTTACCATTCTTTCTCAAAGTTACAACCATTCCATCATCCCTGTAGTCATCTGATTGCAATTTGGGCAGTTAGTAACCAGCTCTCTTTTATGATGGTTGCAGCATTTTATGCTCATTTGATTCCAATCTGTGATCTTCCCAGCCAGCTTTGAATAAGCAAAGTCACTTAACAACCACATAGTTCACTTAACAACCATGGTAAAATGGTCTTAATATCAGGTCCAGACATGTAATGATTCACTTAATGATTGCCTCACTTGGTGACCAAAATTCTGGCCCCAGTTTTGGTCCAAACTACCTGTATGTGGCAGCTAGCAACCTGGATATTTCAAGTATGGTCATTTTTCATATTCACCAGCATATAAGACCAACGTCAGATGCCTCTGTGTTGTTCTGCCATCTAAGGGTTCCTCCACCATCATCTTATCTCTGTTGGGTTCTTCCACCATCACCATATGGCAGTCCGTATGCATTTTTTTTTAATTTTAACATCCCAAGTTTTGAATTAACTTACTAGGAGTTTTTAATGGAACCATCTGATATCATACCATCCTTCAATCCTCTTCTGTGAGGTAATTTATAGGACAGTGATGGCGAACCTATGACACGTGTCAGTGCTGACACGTGTAGCCATTTGGGGTGACACGCGCAGGATTTCATGCGATTTTATGCAATTCATCCTCGGCTCCTGCACGCCGAGGATGAAAGAAATTTTTTTTTTGTTTTCGCCACGGAAGAGAAATCCCCACGGATACCTGGCAGGTCACCAGGTTATGTGGGACTCGAACCCACTAAAACTCTCCCATTATGACTACCGCCCTCCTAGAGCAACTGTACCACTACGGCCTTGGATCCAGGAAGGATGAAAGAAATACGCTCTGTGCTGGAGGAACGGGGGGCGGGACGTGTGATCTCCCCCACCCACACTCACTCATTCACTGTGTCCCCGCCGCAAACTTCAGCCTGCGCCGCCGCCAACTGACAGGCAAGCACAGGCACAGCCCCTTTATCAGCGCAGGGGCTGCTGATAAGGCATGCGTGCCGTGCACACACACTTCATCAGCACGGCTGAGAGTACGTTAGGGAGGACCCCCAGGAGAGGAGCGCAGGAACAGTGCGCGCCTTTCTCCAGTCAGGCCGCAATTAGTGAGCGCCACACAGTAAGGAGAACCTGTGAGCGCCATTAGCAGCAACTATTGGGGTGCCATGGACTTGTAATTGCCCACAATAACTGAGATAAGTGAGGGGGAGGCTGTGTTAGGCTAGTTAACCCCTAATTGGCTAACAAGCTATCTATAATTCTATCTGCTGTCACTGGCCCACTGATGGAGCACCCAAAAAATAAAAAACAAAGGTTAAGTAAAGGGAGTGGTAGTAGCAGTGGCCGACCCTTTCAAGAGACACGGAGCGAGATGTATGGTATTACAGAAAAAAATGGCAGATCATTTTGCGTTCTATGTACTGAAATGGTAGTAAGCAGAACGTGGAATATAAATAGACATTTTGAAACTAATCATTCCCAGCTCTTGGAAAAAAGTGAGGATGAAAGGAAGGAATACATTTCCAGGAAGCTACACCTTTATAAGAGCCAATCTAACTCCATCCTTAAATTTATAAAAGGCTGTACAAATTTAACATCTGCAAGTTTGAGCATTGCTCACTCCATAGCTCAGCATGCAAAAGCACTTAATGAGGGAGAATTTATTAAAGAAACTCTCCTAAGATGTGCGCCACTTCTATTTCACAATATGCAGAATAAAGATGCAATTATTAAGAGAATATCTGAGTTACCACTCAGTAGAAATATCATAAAAGACCGAATAATGAGACTGAACACAAACGTACAACATCAATTAAAGAGAGACATAAGGAATTGTAAATATTTTTCCATCTGTCTTGATGAAACTACTGATGTCATGTCACATGCTCAGTTGGCCATTATTGGTCGATATTCTGATAGTCACACAATGAGAGAAGAGTTGATAAAGTTAGTATCAGTTCCAACAAGTACATCAGGAAGCGAAATATGTAAGGTTGTTATGCAAACATTCTGCGACCTAAGCATTGATATCTCTAAAGTTGTGTCAGTGACAACAGATGGTGCCCCAAACATGGTGGGGAAAAAAGTTGGATTTGTGAAATTGTTTACAGAAGCTATTGGACATCCGATTGTGCCTTTTCATTGTATTATCCATCAGGAGGCTTTATGTGCCAAGGCAGGATTCACTGACTTAAATGACTTAATGTCAGTTGTTACAAAAATAGTTAATTTAATAGCTGCTTGCCCCCTTCACAAGCGAGAATTTTCAGCACTTTTACTGGAGGTTGATTCCACCTACAGTGGACTGCTGATGTACAATAATGTAAGATGGCTGAGCCGAGGCAAGGTTCTTGAGCGCTTTGTGGAGTGCTTTGAAGAAATTAAGGTATTTCTTGAAGATAAGGATCTGGGAAACTTTCCTCAGCTCAATGATGATAAGTGGGTCAACACCCTGATGTTTTTTACAGATCTCTCTGTTCATGTTAATGAACTGAACTTAAAGTTACAAGGTTTTGGCAAAAGTATTGATGTTATGTTTGGATACATAAAAGCTTTTGAAAGTAAAGTAAAAATTTTCAAGCGAGATGTAGAAACTAAAACTTATAAATATTTTCCTCGAATACAAAAGCATTTTGAGAAGGCCAGTGCAGCTGTACGAAATGAAGTGGAACTCTTGCATATGAAGCGCCAGCATGTTTTAGACTCGTTACTTGACCAGTTTACTGATAGATTTAGTCAATTTAGAAGCCTAGAACAGACCATGAGAATAATTAAGTATCCTGATGTAGTAGTCTACAATAGTTTGGAATTAAATGGTTTCCAATGGACGCAAATAGATGGTTTGGAGATGCAGCTTGCAGAATTTCAAGACAGCATCTGGGCTCAGGTGTTTGTCGACTTGAGGTCAAAGCTTGAGAATCTGGAAAGGGGCCGCTTGGAGAATCAAGATGAGTGCCACTACAAACAGGAAATTTGGAGTGCCTGGAACAGACTACCAGACACTTTTAGCACCCTGAAAAATATAGCAACAGCTTTACTCACAATTTTTCCTTCTACATACTTTTATGAGACCTTATTCTCAGCATTAAATAATATCAAAACCAACAAAAGAAACAGATTGACAGATGAGGTTAGTAGCGCTTGCTTGGGCCTGAAGTGTACAAAATACCAACCTTCAATTGAAGATTTAGCCAATGAAATTCAGCAACAAAAAAGTCACTAATATGCAGGTTAGTTAAAGAATTTGCCCTCCTCCTCACTTATCTCAGTTCACGGCACCCCAAACAAGTTCAATAATATCAAGGGCAACATACGAAATCAACAGATTGATGAACAAAGAAGTTACTAAGCAGGTATGTTAAATAATTTGTTTTTGGTTTATTAAATACAATTATATATTGCAATTATACATTTTTGTAGTTTAAACTATAAATTGCGCAAAATTATGTTTTTTTGTCGAAGTGACACACCATGCGAGTTATGTTCGATTTTTTGCCGAATTTTGACACACCACGCCAAAAAGATTGCCCATCACTGTTATAGGACAACGTTTATAATACTGGCTATCAAGGCTGCCACCTAGTAGGCTCCATCTGTGCCTTACTGAAGCTTTTCTCTGTCACTTCTTTCACTAGTTCTGCATCTACTTTACTTCTGAACTCCTGTGGCATACCTAATTCTTGTTCCTAGCAAAGTGGGGGAGGGGGAGGAGGATAATTGACAAGCTAAGAAGAGGAACATCAAGGGAATGCCCAACTACTTAATAGATCTCTGCACTGAGGACTTCAAAAGTATAGCACATTTTTGGCAGCCATCTGCCAATCCTAGATATCCACAAGCAAAACTAATAGGATACTGGAAGAAGCTTCACATAAAAAAATATTTCAGGCTGAATCTAAGCCTAACAAATGTTTTCAAATGTTGAATAATTTAACAGATGGAGAAGTGCTTGTATAGCACTTTGAAATGTAAACTATTGTACCATTTATTATGATCTGCTGTTACAAGCATTTTTTTTTATTCAATTCCTTCTTTCTTATAGAAAATTTACACAGTCAGCTTCCCCAAACCTGGCTTTGTGGAGATGTCGCCAGTCTCTCTTGAAGTGGGAACAGAAATTCACCTGTCCTTCAGTACTAAAAATGAATCTGGTATTATATTCTTCGGTACTAATGAAATATCTGTGCCTCCAAGAAGGAAACGCAGGCAAACAGGGCAGGTACAGAATGATAAAAGGGATTGTTTGGTTGACTCTTACTAGCAAATCATTGACAGGTATATGCTCAAATTTTTGGACTGAATTGATTCCAGGTTTCGCTAACAATGATCCTAAAATGGAATGCAGTCTCAGAAAATTCATTCAGAAGTTCTTCTTTTGAAAGCTTTAAAACAAGTACATTTTTTACCAGTATTGTATTATTTTAAAACAATTTTAATTGACAGGATAGAAAGACATGGTATAAATTAAATAACATTTAAGCAGCTTAATTTTTCATAGAACAGAATAAAATAAAATAGAATCATGAAGTTCATAAAAATCATGAAGTTAAAAACCAAAAAAACTGTGACTTCTATTCCTGCCAATGAAGGGATGAAGCCAATTGAGTGCCTTTGACCAATCACTTTCTCTGAGCTGTAGAAAGGTTCCTTTCTACATATTCTACACTTAGGCAAGAAAAACCAAATGTACAGGCACAGACTAGGTGAAACGTGGCTCAATAGCAGTAACTGTGAGAGGGACCTCGGAGTCCTAGTGGGCACTCACGTAAATATGAGCCAGCAGTGTGCTGCGGCTGCCAAAAAAGCCAACCTAGTCCTAGGCTGCATTAACAGAAGGATAGAATCAAGATCACATGAAGTGTTAATACCATTTTATAATGCTATGGTAAAACCACACTTGGAATATTGCATCCAGTTTTGGTCACCACAATATAAAAAAAGATGTGGAGATTCTGGAAAGAGTGCAGACAACCACAAAGATGACTGGAGGACCTAGAGGTAAAATATGAGGAACAGTTTCAGGAATTGGTATGCCTAGTCTAAGATGAAGGACTAGGGGTGACATGATAGCAGCATTCCAATATCTGAGGGGCTGCCATAAAGAAGAGGAGGCCAAGCTATTTTCCAAAGCACCTGAAGACAAGACAAGAAACAATGGATGGAAATTAAACAAGGAGAGAAGCAACCTAGAACTAAGGAGAAATTTCTTAACAGTGAGAACAATTAACCATTGGAATGGCTCTCCCTCAGAAATTGTGGGTGCTCCATCACTGGAGGCTTTTAAGAAGAGACTGGACAGCCATTTCTTTGGAATTGTATAGGGTCTCCTGCTTATGCAGTGGGTTGGTCTGGAAGACCTCCAAGGTCCCTTCCAACTCTGTTATTCTGTTCTGTACTGTACTTCCAAAAATCTTGCCACAGTGCTAATTGACTAGTCCAGGTAGTAGTCATGATGTACCGAAAAACTAAATAAGTAAAACAAACTCCACCATATATATTAGTATATTTTAGTCTAAGAGGAAGAACCAGTGGGGGAAAGAGCACAGGAAAAACAGGCCCTCCAAAATATTGTATGAGATGTTTGCATCTATCCTGTTGTGTATTTCAAATGATTCCTTTATTACAGTTAACTATGTTGTGTAGCTATCCAAATTTATAAATGTTCTTGGGGGTTTTTGCACTGAAAGTAATGGGGAAATAAAAAAATTGAGACAACAAGCTTAAAGTAGGACACTTGAAAAACTAATTCCATTTTCATCTCAAACAACCAATTTTGTCTATACTTCTTGAATGAAATTGAATTACCCCTTCGTTTTTGCACTTCCCTGAACTTCAGAATGCAATTTTGGTTTTAAAAATAATCATGAGAATAAAATGCATGGAAGACCCATTATTTTAGGATAAAGTAACTATAACAATCTATTTTGGGGGGGGGGGAATTGTATAAATTTTAAACTGAAAATTGACACACCAAAAAAAAAAAAACAGTAACCAGATGATGCAGGCATTCTAATCTCGACAATATCCATCTCTTAACAAAGCTAAAAGGATCCTTAATTCAGTATGTGATTACAGTATGTAGGTAGGAGGCAGGTAGGTAGGTAGATGTGTCTGTGCATGTATACATGCACACATGTATACAGATACATCCATGCACACACACACACACACACACACACAATTATTATATTATAGAATGCTGGAGAGTTCAGCCATTTCCCACTTACTATTTAATATTTACCTTAAGCCACTTATCAAAGCCATTCTTCATCATAGGTGAGATATAAATAATATGCCGAGATATGGTGAAGGTCCTGACTTGATGCTGGGAGACAATTGGGGACTTTTGGCTTATGCTTGAGCAGCAGGTAGAAACCATAGCCAGGAGACCTTTTGCACAATCTTTTTTCTGTCTTCCTGGATTGTGCCATTATGTGTATTGTTTTTTGTTGTTCTGTGTGTGTGTGTGTGTGTGTGTGTGTGTGTGTGTGTGTGTGTAATATATAAAATAGTCATATATATATATATATATATATATATATATATATATATATATATGTTTTCTGAGGTTTTCGCGGGTGTTTGTATGTAGGTCTTTGGTTGTTCGGGAGATCGAAGATTGCATCATTGAACAATATATATATAATAGTCTATTATGTAGGTCTTTGGTTATTCGGGTTTTCTCCCACATAAAATTGGAAGTGTCTTGGCGACGTTTCGACGAAGTCTCATTCATCATCTTCAGGCTGGTGCTTTCGGCTTCGTGCTCCTAGAAGCACGAAGCTGAAGATGACGAATGAGACTTCGTTGAAACGTCGCCAAGACACTTCCAATTTTACATGGGAGAAAACCCGAATAACCAAAGACCTACATACAAACACCCACGAAAACCTCAGAAAACAAATAGTCTATTATATATATATATATAAAATAGTCTTAAAAACATGAGTCTCGGGTATATTCATATTCAAAATCAGAAAACACAGATCACCAAAACTAAAAAATTTATTAAAACTTAGCTTTCATCAGCATCTGCTGGCATCATCAGAGTTCAAGCCAGGATTGAGGGAATACGTTTTTATAGTCTCTGCAGAGCCAACCATTTAGCTAATGAGCATGTCATGGGTTTGTTCAGCTCCCGCTAATGGGGATAGCGAGGATGACAATAAAGAAGAACGAACAGCTGAAACGGCAGCATTACACACAGAAACATCAAAAGAGCAGCGAGATTACTGCACGCGGCCAAACACACACTCCAATGGGCGGGGCGAGTGGAGAGAAGCAGAGCGCCAGAATTCAAATAGCTATCAACAAGGCCGATGGAAATAGTAACGGGGCAATTGATTACGGGAGGGCGGGAGCTGAACAGACCCGTGACACGCTCGTTAGCTAAACGGTTGGCTCTGCAGAGACTATAAGAACGTATTCCCTCAATCCTGGCTTGAACTCTGACGATGCCAGCAGATGCTGGCGAAAGTTAAGTTTTAATAAATTTTTTAGTCTTGGTGATCTGTGTTTTCTGATTTTGAATACACACACACACACACACACACACACACACACACAAACATTCTGCTCCTTTAGTGTATGATTTAGGTAAAAAGGTTAGAAGAGCTGTTTAGGGAAATCTTAATAACACTTCTAGAAGCTATGGAAAGAGTATAGTTCAAACTCTGGTTTTCAGTGATTTATGCAGATGAAACACATATATTCCCTTTCCTTTTTGATAATATCAATACAATAATACAGATTAGAAGTCCAATCATACCTTCAAATCATTGCTAGTTGCTAAAACTAGTCAGGTTCTCCAGATTTAATAACAATAATTTATTAAACTTGCATTCCATATGATTAATGCAGTAATGGGATTTTTTTTTCTGTGTGTCCTTTTCTGAATTACCAGAGAAGGAGTCTCTGGAGAAAATGGTTAGAAAAGCATAACATTAGGAATAAAGGCTTTCTGCTGAAATGCTTGTGGTTCCTTTCAGGTGTATTATGCTGCATTCCTGAATGGAGGTCGACTTGAAGTACATATTTCTACTGGAGTAAGAGATCCACGCAGGATCATTGTCAAACCTGAGTCTGGCGTGTTTCATGATGGCAAGGAACATTCCCTTTCGTTGGAGAGACTTGGAGGGTAATAAATCAGAAATTAGGGGTTCTGCATGCACCCTCTATTTTTCTGCCACATGCCTGAAACTGTGAGAGAGAAGAATGGAATCGCTCTGTAGTTTTCATTTAAAAATCAACTTCATACATCATCAATGGTGAATTCATTGCTAAACAGCCGTATAGACATTACGGCTTCCGGTTTTCATTAATATAAATTGCTATGTTTATACTTAGATTCCTTTTGTAAATGTACTTTATTAATCTAACTGATGTATGGTATTTCTCAAACATTATTGAAGTAAAGAGTAAGAGAATTAGGATTGCCAGGCTAAAAAAAAAAAACCCAAAACTTCCAGTCTCATGGTTTTCTGAGTCAGGTACCAAACCATGATTGATATGCCCTCAACCTCAAGGGAAGAAAGTGACTCATAAAAAAAAGTACCACATGACTATTTGTTTAAGCCAGAAAAACTAGAAACTTTGACATGATACAAATGCAGTACTGAATTTATGGCAACTACTTTGCCCTTCATTTCTCTTCAATTGTTGTTCCACAGAGAAGCAAGAAGCCAGGGCTGCTACATCTGGGCTGCAAAAATCCAAATTGCTACTAAAAGTCAGCAAAAAAATAACAGAAAGCTCTCTTTGCTATCATTGTCTGTTGTTTTTTTCAGTCTAAATCACAGAAGCATTATATGCAACGATTTCCAAATTAGGTTTATAGAGCAATGAGATTCTTTATCGTGGAAGGTAATGCTGGTTGCAATGAAAATAAGTGATGGTGGCGTAAGGAAAAAAGATGAATATATCTTCTTATCCAGATTAAAAGCTTTCTTTGATCATAACAGGATATATATTATGATATTTTGCTCTGAAAAAGTTTTTTAGACTGGTTTCTCACTGCATGTATGTATATATAACTGAATTCTTCTGTCTCAGAGTAATCTTTAAAAAATCTGTCGGCAATTATTCTCTAAGCTTGGGAGGGAGACAAATAACCTTGCCACTGTTTTTTCCAAGCAGAGTGTTATTTTAATACATTGCACCTCGGCAGTTTCAATAATGCACCATAAGTTAAGGTAACATACTCTGGTCACCTGTCAACAAGTCTATTTCTTTTTCTACCCACCATTAGTGAAAAGAATACAATATAATGAACACAGGAAATAACCAGCTGAAGAAGAAGAAGAAAGACAAAACTGATTGCCAAATACCCATAAAATTGTGGTTAATGTCAGCAATAGATTTGGAAAGCTTTTCACTGCTTGGCTGCCTCCTTCTTAGACCCAGCGTTAGGCTAAGCCCAAAAAAAGGACATTGAACAGTTCAGCCAGAGTTCAGTTTAGTTCTCTCTCTCTGTGTGTGTATGTTTGTATGTGTGTATGTGTATTTGTGTGTCTGTCTTTCTATCTATCTATCTATCTGTCTATCTATCTATCTATCTATCTATCTATCTATCCATCCATCCATGTAATCTCTATCTATCATCTCTCTGTCTCTATCTATGTCTCTAGTTCTATCTATCTATCTATCTATCTAGCTATCTATCTATCTCTATCTATCTCTATCTATCTCTTCCATGAAAATGTTACCATCTATACTGGCGCTTAGCGATCATTAATTTTATTAAATTTCCAATTGCTAAAAATGTTCCCACTATTTCACTGATAATATGGAAATTGATATATTGATAGTACTACAAAAACACTAATTAAAAATCCCAAACAATACACCATTTATTTTAGCAATGTAAATTGAAAAACAAGACTATGTTGATATGTTTGCTTACAAGGAGAGTTTGTAGTTATTACTGTTTCATACTTTTCTCTAGTGGACAGAAATACATCCTAACCTCATTCTTTAAATAAGCCTTTATCCAAACCACATGTACAGCAAACATCAGATTTTTACAAACTGGATTATTGTAAAAATGGAAAGAGATAATTTATCACACTAATCACTCCATCTGCTAATTATCACGAAGGCTTTATTTTATTAAAAGTACAGTGCATTTTTGAAAACTCTTTGGAAAGCTAATTGCCCATATAATTATGAACTAATTGCTGTCCGTTCCAGGGTAATTATGTGATAGCATTGACAAGTGAGGTTCTTTCTTTGTGTGATGGTCTTCTCTGCCTGTGGATAAGCATTTCCTTGGACAAATTTAACAATAGTAAAGTGCTATGTAAATTATCAGAGATTTAACTAGCAACCATGTTAATAAGTCATTATACATATAGCTTTGCTATAAAGAATGTCTCTTAGTCCTGTTAATAATATCTAACAAGAACAATAGGCTTTTATTATTCTATTATCTAGTATTTCTCTATTTGGAAATCCCAATCCTATTCTGAAAAGTGTGGCTTAGAGTACATAATTATAGTGTAAAAAATGAATGTATTCTCTTTGTTGTGTCCAGCTCTTTTATGTTCATTATTAATGAGCAACTTTGTTGAATTTTAAAATTAGGAATTGGTAAGGTCTTTTTTTTAAATTGAAAAGTTTTATACAAGTTTTTAACAATATCCTCCCCTAAAATAACCCCCTCCCTCCCTCCCCCTTCACTTCCCAGAGCTGGTTACAGGGTTACAAATAAACAAATTCTAAATAAGCTTATCCAACTATACAAATAACAAAATCAATAATGTACTTTAACTCAAATACAAAACAAATTTAAGCAAATAAAATATAAAAAAAGAAAAAAAATAACAATATAAGCAATTCCAAGTTAAAAAACTAAAAGTTATTCATAATCTAAGTAATACTTTTTAATCCCATATCAGCTCTATTTACTCTACATGTAATTTATCCATCTTCTTCACGCTGAGGTGTGTATTTCTTTTAAACAACCATTCATCCATAATAAACACAAAATTTTCCTTCCAATATAACCCAATCAACAAATTTACATTCGATAAACTTGGCTATTTGCTTTTTTTCCCCATCCCTAAGTAAATCTATTAATACCCTCCTGCTTAACCGGCTGCCCTTCCGACTTTTCTTCTGTACTCTCAGGTCGTAAAGATGATGGAGAGCCCGCCTTCAAAACAGAAGTGTAAAAATCTTTCGCCTTTGAAATTGTGTTAAGTCTATGATATATCCCTGCATAATTCATCGCTATTCCAGCCGGTATCTCCCATCTGAACCGGACCTGTCGTTTTTTTGAGCTCATCAGCCAAAAAAAGCAAAATTCTTTCTTTTTCTAAGAATTTTTGAAGATATTTCTTTTAAAATTATAACATCTTGAGTTGCAATTTGAAATTTCTGCTTATAAAAAGCCTGTAAAATTTCATTACGAAGTGATCTTCTAGAAAAATAAATAACCACGTCTCGTAGCAAATTCCTCTGCCTCGCAACCCTTGAATTAACCCTAAAAACTTTTTCCATCTCTCTCAGAATTTCTTCAGGCTCAGCCCCCAAAATGAAAGCTATATCTTTTACCACCACTTGTCTCAAATCCTCTTGCGTGTTTTCCTTCATTCCCCTTATTCTTAAAGCAAATTCCATGTCTCTATATTGTAACATAGTAATTTCATCCAGTATTATTTCCGCCTTATTTTCTACTTTATCAATTCGATCTTCCAGTTTTTCAAAATTTTCCACAACATCATCAATACGATCATCCAGTTGATCTATATGACCAACAAACTTTTGAAACGCAGACGCAATGTCCTCTCTCAGTTCCCTAATTTTATTTTCAAGAAATTCCTCCATCTCTTCTTTAATCAGTCTTGCCTTATTTCCCAAGGCCTCCTGTAAATCTTTAAGTATAGATGCTGGTAACGATGGAGAAGGTGGTGGTAACTTAAACTTAGCTTGCTGAACTGTCTGCATTACCGGGAAGATCGAGGCTTTAGAAACAATAGAAGCTCCGAGACGCTTTGAAGCCATTTTATTTTTAAGACCACTTGTTAAAAAGTCTGCTAAAATCTTATAAAATCAACAAATACAAAAAAAGGGGGGGAGGAAAAAAGACAAAAGCCCCCTTAAAAGAAAAAAGAAGATTCTTGCATTTTATATAAATACAAAATCTGTTACATTGTTTTAAATAGGAGTTCCGGTCCTTTCACTCAAAGAATCAACATCTCAGCGCCATTTTTCACCACTCTTAATTGAAAAAAAAGGAAAAAATAAATTCTTTTCCAGAGTTAAAGTCTCGAAATAATCACCATTTTAATCTCTCCTGGTCAGCTTTGTCTGCTTTAAATTTTACTCACAAATTCATTTTAAGTGCAGATGTGGAAGCAGCGTCTAGCTTTGCCCTGGATAAAAATCAGGGCAAAGGCATCCTGGAATGGGGAGGACACCTCAGATTCCGTGAGAGTTCTCACCATTTAACCACCAAAAAGAAAGCTTTGGGGTCTCGGGGAGCTCTACCACTATCTGAGGAAAGCTCACCTCCTCCCCTTCACCCGGGGAGAGAGGTTCCAAGTCACAAGACAGCTGTTGCTTGCTGTCTCAGCTGGCTTTGACACATCCCAGGGCGGACGGCTGAAAAAAGCCGCCATCGGCGTGGCCGTCACCACCGGAAGTCCAGGAATTGGTAGGGTCTTATAGCACATGTAAATGGACCAAACTACTTCCATGCTCATTATTTACTATTAATATATTTATTTACATATCTGGAAATTGAATTCCAAGGCTCTCTTTGGCATGCATGGTTTTGGGAGTGTTACATTTATAAGCTTTCTAGGAATGTTTTTAACAATATCAACAGGTAACAATAAGATGTTAAAGTTTATTTCATTTAAATCATTGTTGAACAAACCAGGAGGAGGAGGAGGAGGAGGAGGAGGGAGAGGAGAATTTAACAGTGGTTGTCATACTTGTTAGGCTAGAAATGAAATAAATCTAAGGATCTAAGTATTCTGGATATGTTCTGGATATGTCCATTAGTAACTTGTTACTGGTTAAATATTATTCCTATGGTAAACCAGGATAGGAAGGAAATACTGCAGGGAAATTACAGTTTAAAGATGCTAACATACTGTTAAATTAATTTGTTTTTTGTGTATAGAGAGCTTGGCTCAATTAAATTTGTCAGCTCTCAGATTCAAGGACTCTCTATAAATCAACGGGAAGACATGATCAAACAGCACAATTCCATACAGTCAAGATTTGGTGGTCAAAGGGGAAAAACTGAGTTCATATCCTTCTTTCTCACTGTACCAAAGCTTTCATCTTTTTTAAGGCCATCATTGCAGTGCTGATTTGCTGATGGTGGGCTTTTCATAATTCTGCAGACTGTTTGCCATTCAAGTAGATGAGGACAGAAGACAATCCCAGCGACTCCCAACAGATCAGCCTATCTCCATTAAAAGACTTTTTGTGGGAGGAACACCACCTGAATTTCACACACCCCCAATTAAAAACATACCTGCCTTTGATGGCTGTATATGGAATCTGGTTGTCAATGCTGTGTAAGTATATGTCAATGCCGCTCCAGAAACATATCACTCTTAAATATTTGTGGCTTCCCATATTTTACATGAAGGGAAGATTTAAAAGAACTGCTCCCAAACTCTAGAAAATAAAAAATCATCATCCCTTTGTCCATAGTAGCCTTAGCTGACCCCACAGAAATGTAGCTGTCAGTCATCAAAAGGATGCCCATTCCTGTCCTAGAGAAGACTTGGCTGACTTTTGCACCTCGGGGAATGGATCAGCAGGTTGGAGAAGATAGATCAAAACATTTCTGACTTTCCTTGTTTTTTCCCCATGATCAGTCTGGAGGGGAAATGAAAGGGTCAGCCTCTTTTTCCTGTGGAGATTTTTGTGGGATTTGAGCTTGAATACAGCCTGCTCAATCATTCTGAAAAATTCTGTAAATTTTCCCTGAGGGCTCGTATCCATAGTCAAGACTTTGGCCTCTTCTCCTAAGGATAGTTACTATAATTCAGAGTCTACCTTTTCTTTAGCATCTATGTCTTCTTTTAATTGTTTTTAATTTCTTAATGTAAACTGTTCACAAGTCATCTGGAATGAAGCAGCCTTTAAAAATAACAACCACAACAATAGTATCTTAATTACCTGTATTAATGACCTTGGATATCATTGATCTTTGGTATGAAGAGATGATTTACTATATTTTTATCTTGCCATTTGTCTAAGCACTTCAGAATAGTATTCATGTCTCTGTGTCACCTATTTTAATATAGAAAGTTGATTAAGGTTGAGAAATAAATCTTAGTCACCTGGGTTCTACCTAAATTAGTTTATAATCTACACCAGCGGCCCTTAACCTTTTGGGCACCAGGGGTCAGTTCCGTGGAGAGAGGTTTTCCCATGGACTAGAAGGGGTGTGGTTTCACATGCTGCCTGCATCTCACAGATGAGGCTTTGTTTGTTTGCGTGGCCCGGTTTCTGACATGCCGCGGCCTGGTGCTGGTCCATGGACTGGGTGTTGGGAACCTCTGAATTGTTCATTTAACTAATATAAGGACATAAAATATAAGTTTATTGAATAAGGCATTATTTCATTGCTGCTGGTTTCATTGTGTTTCCATAGTCCAATGGATTTCGCCCAATCAGTAGGCTTTGAAAATGCAGATATAGGACAATGTCCTGATTTAGGACCACCTCATGAAAAGGAAGATGAAGATCAAACTCCCCAGACAACAGATCATCCTGAAACAGAGAAGGATGGAAAGAAAGCGAATACAACGTCTCCTCCTCCTCCTCCTTTCCCACCTTTACCCGTAAGTGTTTTTGTGACATTACCGTGGGTGTTTTTTTTATATTTATGGGACTAGGATACTGCACAGTTGTACAGGAACATTAGCAGTGGAACATTAACAGTTTTTCACGTTTTTAACTACTGTAAGCACTTCAAAAATAAGGGTGCACAGAGAGAATTATAAAAATCTAATGTTGCTTGGGAGCTTATATTGGAGAAATGCAATAAAGGGGTGTGTGTGTGTGTGTGTGTGTGTTAGATCAGCAATCCTCTATCTTTCTAGCTTTGCGAATCAGCAAGGGGGGAGAGGAAATGTTTCTGTGTGAGTGACAGGTGTGCGCGCTCACATGCATAGCTCCATTTGAGTGAGCGGTGGGCAAATGTGCTTGAGACACCAGTCATGGAAATGGAGCTACACAGATGTGCTCACCCAACACTTGCGTGGCCCAGTTCTGAATGGGCCGCTGTCTATTACAGGGTCACAACCTGGAGGTTGGAGACCTCTGTGTTAGATTACATTTTCCAAGGAAGAACTTGTAAGCAAGAAAAGCTGTAGAGGAAAAAACAATGGCATAATGGTTATGTCAAGGCAACTAAAAAACATCAAAGAATCTATTTCAATTACAACCAAATATGTTTCCAGAATGAAAAATAACCATTAACTGCTTGTAATAAACAGGAATCTGATCCAGCAGAAAATGAAGAATGTTTGAGTAGGTTTTTTTTATTATTTACAAAATTTACCAATTAACAAAAAAACCCTAATCTTTTTTTTTTTTATTATTAAAAGTTTTATAAATTTTACAAAAAAGAAAAAAGAATAAAAGTCCATTTCTGCAATATATACAAGTCTTTTTCAAGAAAACTCTGAATAAAAAAAAAAAAAAAAAAAAATAAAATAAAAAATCAAAAAAATAAAAAAAGCAAAAAAAATAAACAAATAACTAAAATAAACCAAACCCAATAACAAATAAAAAAAAAAAACAAAAAAAAAATAAAAAAAGTAAAAAGAAAAAAACAAATCCAAACAAAAAAAATAAAATAAAAAAAAAAAAAAAATACAAAAAATAAAAAAAAAATAATAAAAGAACAAAAAAAAAAAAAATAAACTTTAACTCCAGTAGTGAACAGAAGTTAGGTACATGAAGAAGGAAACAATTCAGTTTGTCCTGAAGCATACAGATCCATTTTGTTATTGAATATTATAAACCCTTCATGATATTCCTTGCTAAATGGCTAAATGGCTTTAATTGAATTGATACATCCTGATTAAATGGGCTTTATACCCATGAAAGATTATATAAGTTATATTAGTTATATTGTAAATGTTATTAGGATAAATTATAAGGAACAAAAACTAGCCATTTTTTTCTTGATGCTGAAAAAGCCTATGATAATTTGGAATGGGATCTTTTCATTGGCAGCTATCAAAAAATAGACCTCACCCCTAATGTTTTTCATACATGCAGAGTAGTTCTGGGATTAATATAGGAAAAGAGTAAGTCTACATTTTTCTGCTTTTACTTCATTATTGAATGCTTATTTTTTACATGAATGAAGGTACTAAGTAATCTGCTTAATGGAGAGAAAGCAGCTTGACAGATTACAAAGTTTAATTGTCAACAGGACAAATTAAGATATTTTAATCTCTTAATTATGCAGCATTCTTCTATAACTCACAACCTGAGTTAAAGTCTGTATAAATGGATGCAGAATTTGAATATAGTTAATAAAGATGTTTAAAGATTATTAAAAAGTCATATATATAGTGATGTTAACAGGTTGTTAACGAAAGCTTAGCAATCAAAAAAAAGCAATTCTCCTAGAAGCACGAAGCCGAAAACACCAGCCTGAAGATGACGAATGGGACTTCGTCGAAACGTCGCCAAGACACTTCCAATTTTATGCGGGAGAAAACCCGAATAACCAAAGACCTACCTACCTGCCTACATATATACATACATACATACATACATACATACATATATATATATATATATATATATATATAATGGTTTGAAGATACGAGTCTCAGGTATATTCATATTCAAAAACTAAAACACAGATCACTGAGACTAAAATTTTATTTTAAAACTTAGCTGGCTAGAACTCTGATGATGTCAGCAGACGCTGATGAAAGCTAGGTTTTTAAATAAATTTTTAATCTCAGTGATCTGTGTTTTAGTTTTTGAATATATATATATATATTCAACCAAAGACCTACACTCACACACACACACACACACACACACATATATTGGTTTTTTTATATTGAAAATTTTTACAGTTTTACAATAAAATAATCCCCCTCTCCCACCCCCCCTTCCCCCCCATCACCCTCCCCCCTCCATCCCAGAGCTGAATACAGGGTTAATAAAAACTAGAAAAAACCTTACAACTTAAATAAACATCAAACAATTATAAATACATTCAAAAAAGAAAATTTTAAATACTTTAACTCCAATATATAAAAACAAAACAAAACAATAGTTCTAATCGTTACCTTAAACATAAATTATTCAAAAGCTAAATAATAATTTTTAATCTCATATTTGTGCTGTATAAAATTCACCCATCTTTTCCACACCAAAAAATATTTCTCTTGCGATTGATCTTTCAAATAAGCCGAAATTTTTGCCATTTCAGATAAATAAGAAACTTTAAGAAACCATTCCTCTAAAGTAGGCAAAAACTCCTTCTTCCAGTATTGCCCTATCAGCAGCCTTGCCGCTGTAATTAAATTCAACATTAAAATAATTTCTTTATCATCACAATCAACAATAATGCCTAACAAAAACAATTGTGGTGTAAATTTTATCCTTCTATTAAAAATGCTTTGAATGTTCCACCAAATCTTAATCCAAAAAGCCTTTATATTTTTACATGACCACCAAATATGATAATATATATTGTTGTTGTTAATTGCGAAGTCGTGTCCGACCCATCGCGACCCAATGGACAACATTTCTCCAGGTCTTCCTGTCCTCTACCATCTTCTGGAGTCCATTTAAGTTCACACCTATTGCTTCAGTGACTCCATCCAGCCATCTCATTCTCTGTCGTCCCCTTCTTCTATTGCCCTCAATCTTTCCCAGCATTAGGCCCTTCTCCAGTGAGTATATATATATTTCAAAAAGTAGGGATTTCAATGAAAAAATATTGATTTTTTCAATTAAATTTTTATGCCATCCATCTCCCTTACAAGGTGACTCTATGCAGCTTACAAATAATATAATTTACAGAATTGTCTTTGTGTATTGTTTATTATTTCAGTCGTTCTTTCTTCGTTCCCTCTCTTGACTTCAATTGTATTAATCAAGTATCTTTAAAGTGTAGAGGAGTTGTATTTTGATTATAAAAAGGATATGAAATGGCTTATAGTGTTATAAAATTTTAATTATGTGCTATACTATTTTAATTATATCTTAAATGTATTGATTCACTGCTCATTTTTTAGAGTTATATGGGGGAGTTAAATCTGCATTATCTATTTTTACATTTTTTTAAATTTGTACTTATTTTGGTACTATCTTTTATATTTTTTTATCCCACCTTTATTTTATTTTAATAACTCGGGGCAGTGAACAAGTACAACACTCTTTTCTCCTCCTATTTTTCACTACAACAACAACCCTGTGAGGTAGGTTAGGCAGAGAGAGAGACCAAAGGCAGCTTTCATTCCTAAAGTGGGACTAATACTTAGTCTCCTGGTTTCTAAGCTGGCATCTTCATCATTATACCAAACAGGTTCAAAAATATTCATGCAATGAATTAAGCTGATTAAACATCAGAAATACATTTTTTACATATTTTCCTTTTTGTTCCTCAATGTCATGCACAGATGACATTAAGTCAAAATAGAAATAGAAAAGAAAAAAGGAAATAGAAAAGACTCAGTTTGATAGTAAATGCTGGTTATGGCAGGATAAGGATGAAACATTTGACCATATAATAATTGGATGCAGCAATATTATAGAAGTTGATTACAAAAGAGGACATGTTCGGATTAGGATGATATTATACTGGCATTGATGTATAAAGTGCAGGTGACAGTCCATAAAAACTATTTGAAACGTGAAATGGGAGGGTGTTGCACATGGCAGAGCAAAACTTTTAAGAGATTTTAAAATTCTGAGGCCTAGCATACCAGGCATTATTATCAAAGAAAAGCCATGTTTGATTAATTGATTATTGCAATAATTTTGAAGACATATAAATGGAAAAGACTGCAAAATAGGGTTTGCAAAAAATCTGGCTAACATTGGGGGACTAGGTCTAAGTACCACAAGGACTTTGAATTTGGACTGCCTAAATTTTGAACAAATTATGACAGCCTAACTATAAACAACAGCACTGTTGAACACTTCATACATATTTAAATGCTATATTTACTATTCCTAAACCCTTGAGTAGGGCTTGAATCTAAAGAAGAAAACTTGCCAACATCAGTTGTAACACCACGATCAGTGGAATTGGATTGATGATGATAGACATTTGCTATAAATACAAGACCTAACATAAATTATAATTTCAGTATGTAAAATTTACATTATTTTAAAAGCTATGTTTATGGCTATAATATGTATTTAACATTAAGGAGTGAATTTCATACTCAGAGTTCCTTTAGCTCTTTCTTTCATTATTTCCCATTATAATTCATAATGGGAAGAAAGAAATATCTTTTATATATATATATATATATATATATATATATATATATATATATATATATATATATATATATATATGTAGGTCTTTGTTGTTCGGGTTTTCTCCCACGTAAAATTGGAAGTGTCTTGGCGACGTTTCGACGAAGTCCCATTCGTCATCTTCAGGCTGGTGCTTTCAGCTTCGTGCTTCGAGGAGCAATGTGTGGTCTTAGCTGTTTCTTCCTTTAAACTGCCAGTGGGGGTATGAATGATTGGGTGGAGCTTGGCTGTGTTTTGATTGGGTGGAGGTGTGTTCTGATGGGTTAGGGGCGTGGCTGTGCCGATTGGCTGGGGGGTTCGGCTGTGCTCTGAT